CTGTTTTTATGTGTTAGTTTCATTTATACTTTGTATTGCATGAGTGTAGTGTAATAATCCTCATAGGTTTGGTGTTTTAGGCATTAGACACCAACCTATTTGAGTTGATAGCATTTATTTAGTGTTTTCCATACTTGTGTTCACCTCTAAGCATCTCTGCAATCTCCCTCTTTTCTTGGCTTTTCCTTTTGTTTTGAGAGTTGCTTCAAAAGAAGTGTTGTTTAAGCTTGAGGGGTGATATTGTGCTTAATGGTTTAATCCCTTTAGGGGTTCATTACCAACGGCGTGATCTCCCTCTCATGCCTAAAACAACATTTGGTTCGACACTTCTCTCTAATAGTGGACTTAAAGCTCATTATTGGACTTAATTGACTAATGAATGAAAGGTAATTAAAATGGAGTAATCAATGGTTTAAAAAAATGGAGCAAGATAATAAAATGGTTAGGGTTCAATCGGACGTTAATTGAATCCTTGAATCTTGGTCTGTTTCATACTAACTAGTGATGAAAACGGTTTAAGAGTCAATATCAACCACTTCCCTTGATTAATTCATGATAGGAAGGAGGTTTTGTTGGTCTTTCCTTACCATTTATTGAAATTGTATCCCTTGGTTCATAAGCCATCACACAATGAAATTGCGTCAATTGATGGCTTGCGAATCGAGCCTACCCCTCATTTGACCTGTTTGCTAATAAGGAGAGGCATAGTGGACAAACATCCCTTGAGAATACTCTGTTTGTGCTCTATTTGTTCTTTGTTGCAGCAGGAGGAATCCAACAATAGTGGCCGGCAAGCCACTTTTACTGGGCAGCAGACCACTATTAATGGCCAGCCGACCACCACTTCTGGTCTACAGACCACTTTTTCTAGCCCGGTAGTGTCCTTGTTTCAGCAAAGCAGAGCAGAGGCTGAGGTGAAAAACAGTGCAATTTTCTGACTGTGCAACAGAAGCAATATGGCAGCAGAACATAGAACATTTTTTGGTGAAAATTCGTGTGCATACATGAGTCAACCCTCATTCCCTGGGGTCTATAGTAGTTAATTAAATTAGCTAGTTAACCCATGTTGTAATTAATTAGTTAAAATAGCTAGTTAATTTTGTCTTTTAATTAATTTTGTCTTGTGATTATTTAATTAGTTAGAGTAGTTAATTTATTTCATTCAGCACTGTAATAATTAGTTAGCTAGCATAGCTAGTCCATTCATTTGAACCCTCTTGTGCAAGGGCCAAGATTGCAATAATGTGTATGTCTTCCAACATGTCTTTCTCCCTTTTATTTAATTGCTTATGATAGGTAGCTTAGAACATCAAGTTTCTTTTAGCCTTTCCCATGTTTGCATCCATTTGTTTTGCATGCATGAAGTTCGGCTCATCATTCTAAGAAAGCATTGTCGTTTAAATACTTCTTTGAAAATGTGTTTAAAACTGCATGCTATTAAAATGACTTGCATGCCATGCTAGTAGTCGGACTTCTAATTGCATATTGCATGTGTTGCATTAGGCATATTTGCATTAGTTAGGATCATGCATTTTTCTAACTAGTTTCTCTTTTTGGCTCGCCTCGGGAATTAGGATAAGCTTTTATTGCTTTAACATATCGCATGCATGTGATTGTTGCCATGTCAAGCATAATTAACATGAGGCTAAGTGCTTAAATGCTATATATGTTTGAATGTCTGTGGATGAAGGCTAATTGCTTAAATTGGGATATTTTGATTAATGTACATATGAGATCGCTTTTTCAAGTGGTACATATTCGAAACAATTTTTAAACAAACATGAAATCAAATGTTTTAATTTTTTTTTGCAAATTAGTCTATTCTTGTGTGCGTCACATAGTAAAATAGTCTAATAATCGGAATAAGAGCATATAATGTAAATAAGATTCACATTATGATTAGTAGAGGCCAATCTTTGATTGAGCGAGTGGGGTGCTCAATTCATGACCTTCCCCTCTCGTACCTAAGTTCCCGTGCCGAGACACTCTTGGTGATGATGGACACATAGCCTTTAGCACGAGTCTCAGGTTTTCTAAATTTCTCAAAAATAATATATTTATGTGGCGACTCTATATCTGGCAAAGCAGTCCATTTTTGGCATTTTGATTCAAAATTGATTTTCCAAAAGAATTGTCAGATTTGGACTCATTTGTGTTTATCTATTTCACATTGAACTTGTGGAATCAGATTCAGAACCACGGGAGTCCAAACTGTAGGGCTAATCGTATCCGAAAGGAGCACGAAAAGTCAAGCTACACAAGCTTGCAGCAACGGTTATCAAACCATGGAACCAAGTAGAAATACCGGCAAAAATTTTATATGATAGGAGGTTTTTCCCATGGTTCAAGGTATGACTCTATCTTCGACATGCAAATTTGCAATAATGGAAACGAAGCAATTTTTTTGTTATGTTTTCAAAGTAATATCTACGTTGGTGTCATGTTGAACGTAAAATTGATAATATGATGTAGGATTGTGTCGGTGCTATCGATGGCACATTGGTAGACGCGTGGATCCTTACCTCAAGACAGATTACATTCTAGGTCGTAAAGCCACGATATCGCAAAATGTACTCGCAGCTTGTGACATGTTGTTCACATTTATCAATTTTGGTTGGGAATGAAGCATCCACGACAACGCAATTTTAGTTGACTCAATTACAAAAGATGATGTACATTTCCCACACCCACCATATGGTCAATGTTACAAAATAACATATTGTAGTATTTCAAAAAATGATATTTGTGTACATGTTTCTGACAGAGCGTTACAAACATTATTTACATGTAGGCAAGTATTATTTAGTGGATGTCGGGTTCACGAACATGCCAGGATTTTTTGTCCCATTTCGTTCACAACGCTATCATTTGCAAGAGTTCCATAGCCTTCATTATTCTGAACCAAAGGAATTGTTTAACCATTGACATTCGTCATTACGGAATGTCATAGAAAGAACATTTGGGTTATTCAAGAAACGCTTTCTAATATTGCTATGCATGCCTAATTACAAGTCAACACAACAAGAACCCCTCGTGATTACATGTTGTGTAGTGCACAATTGGATCCATTTCCATAGCTGATAATGAAATGGTGGTTGAAGCAGCAGCAAAGGGGTTTGCTAGAGGCCAAGCTGAGTATGTGGATATGTCACAATATGGGTTGACGTACCTATCAAACTTGAGGGACACAATTGCTAATGCTATGTGAGAAAATTTTGTTGGTCATGGGTAGATTTGTGACATTATGAAATGATATTTATGTCATTTTTTTTTTGTTAGTATTGTATGTATAATTTTTATTTCTTTTATTTGTAATGTGCGAAATGCAATTGTAATTTGTGGTGTAAAGAGTTTTTTTTTTAAATATAATTTTCCATTTTTTAAGTGTTCATGGAAAAAGAATTGAACAAAGTCACTTCTTGAATAGAGAGCATCAAGCATTTTACCTTCTCAGAGAGAATGGTAATTAGTATAATTTATTTTTAAAAATATTTAATTACGGCCTATTATCACATTATTCGTAACTTAAAATTATTTATATTTTGTATTATATTTTTTCGATGTGTTTCAATTTAAACTTTTTTGTTAATATTCTACTATGCAAAATGACATACAAGCTACACATGTCAATTTTATGACTGGAATAAACATATTTATTTACACAAATGTAAAAAATGTACACAGATGTTCATCTCCTATAAAGAAATATAAGAGAGAACATAGATATGGATATTGCCTGCATGACCAAAGACGCCAATATTATGTATTTAAACTTTAATTTTTGAATAAATGTTTTTATCTTAAAATTGTCTCGTGTTAATATTAATGAAAGGTTAAAATTGAAACAAATGTCAGCAAATTTTTTTTTTGTTGATGGGTAAAGTGCTACAATGTAAATTGTCTAAAAGTCAATAAATAAATAAAAAATAACAATTCAGTTACAAGTTTTAAAAATAATTTTAAATACATGAAAAAAAAATTACAAAATTATCTTTTAACATATTAAAGTTCATCATTAATATGTAAATATATTTTTTAAGCAACAGTGCTACATACACACAATTTCTTTTCCACAATTCCCGTAATGAGGTGACAAGACAGAAGAATGCATGCAATAAGAGTTTTGAAAACATGAATCATAAATCTCAAAATAGTTTTCCAAAACAAAATTGAAGAATATTTTCTTGAAATTTTTTTTTTTACACATTCAAAAATTTCTAAGAATATTTTTTCATTCATTTTTGTAAGTATAGTTTTTCAAAAGAGTTGTGAATTGAGTTTTGGGTAGCATTGGACATTTACATCCACCTACATCATTTACACCACCATTTACACAATTTGATATATTGACCAACCACTACTGATTGTATCATTAATGAGGTCACGAAACTCTCTCAAAAATTATCTTTAAATGGTGCATAGTTGCTTGCATGCATCCCACAGAAGCTTTTCATTTTGTTGACGAAGCAAAGCACTCTAAACCTACAATATATCTAAACAAGCAAAGCAGTCTCTCCATTGATTCTTTGAATCCATCTCCCAAACACCAATCAAACTGAATAAATATTAAAATTCGTGTGTAAACACAGGTAAATTTCTATATTCAGTGTCTTGGTGTACATTTCATGATATTGCTCTAAATATATCATCTGTAAATTTATTTGTTTTATCCCTGATTTTTTTTTTCAATACATGCAATACTTCCATGTTATTGTTAAAATTCTATTGGTCTATTTTTTTCTTAGCATCAAAAAGTGATGGCTCCTCGCACTAAAAAGCCTAGAGCTCGAGAGGCTGGAGAGTCATCAAATCAAGAACAGCAATATCCATCAATTGACTTCCTTTCATAGAACCAGGAATTTGAATTTGCCACTATTTCTTCCTGTTCAATCGTTAGTGGCCGAAGAGTCAACCTTGCCCCAAAATATGATGCCCTGTTGATGAACAAACTTGAAGCCATGGGATGGCAAAACTTGATAAATTTGCCTAAAAAGGTATATCCCCGTCTTCTTGCCCTCTTTTATTTGCATCTCAAACATTCGAATGTCAAAGAAGATGACTACACTGTTGAGTCTTATGTGAAAGGCAATTTCATTTCGTTTAATGTTCCAACATTGGCTTCTATTCTTCATATTGAACAAACCAATAACCAAATATATTTTCAAAATGAGTAAAAAATGGCTGATACTGTGGGCAATATCACTGAAGTTTATTCTACTATCTGCATTAGTAAATCTATGGGCTCAAATCTACTTGCCAAACACCTAAAACCACATATTCGCATTCTCCACAGTTTTTTATTAGAGAATGTAACTCCGAAAGCAGGCCGCTATGATGTTGTTCCCACTTTTCATGCTTACCTACTCTATTGTTTTGAGGTTGGTCAACCCATTGATTTGTGTTATATTATTATGCAATAAATGACTCTTGTCTCATTCACGCGAGACAAAGCTTTGGCATTTGGAGCCTTGTTGACCAAAATCCTCAAAAACTTCAAAGTTAGCTTTGTCAGTGAGCCCAAATCTCATATTGCCTCCAACATTAGTGAGTACACAATAAACCAAGTTGGAGGAGGTGATGTTTTGCTTGTGAGCATGGCTGCTACTGATGTTCCCATGGATGATCCTCAACATCATCTTGAAGTTGCAATGCCACAACCACAGCAACAGCCTCCTGCCTATTGGACAGACTTTACGGCAATGGAGCAAGAACACTACAATCAACCCATTCAATGGGAACAACAAATGGCCACTCAAATGAATTCCATCTCTCAACAATTTGGTGCGCTCAATACCCGTGTTGACCACATTGAGACACGCATGGATGCCATATACCAGTACCACTTTCCTCTGCCAGCGCCTAATCCTGAGCAGTGATCCTCTTGATGTTGATAATCTCATAGTGACATTACTGATTGTAATGTTTTTATGTAGTTTTCTTTTCGTCTTGTTTTTTTTTTTTTTTCCTTTCACTTATATGTTGTTTTATTTTGCTCCTATTTTTTTTTTTTTCTAGCAGACCTCAACATGAAGTCCATGAGATGTGATAGTAGTTGTTTTACTCCTGAGCATCAATATTTTTTTTTTTCAATTTCATGGTTTAATTGAGTGGAATGGTGATCAGTTTATAAATTTTTTTTATAGATCAATTAGTCTTATTAATTTTGAAAATTGAGTTTATAGTTATACCCTTATTTCTACTTTTTTTTTTTTTTTACGAGAAAAGTAATACACAACCTATTATAAGATCTTCTAATATGAGAATCTCTTTTTGGGATTGGGTGTGGTTATTAAAATTTTGCGTGGATTTTGATATGGGAATCTTTTTTGTTTGAAATGTGAGATTCTTCAAATATTTTTTTAAAAAAAAGTACAAAAACCTCTTAGTAAGTTTTGAGAAAATATATAATTTCAAACTATGGGGTTTTGATCAGGAATGACTTGAAATGTAGGATTTTTCAAACATTCCAATAGTACAAAAACCCCTTAGTAAGGTTTGTGCTAATGCGTAATTTCAAATTGTGGGATTTTGATTTGAAATGGCTTAAAATGTGGTATTTTTTCAATCTGAGTCGAGCAAGACTCATTTGGCTATGGTGTTTGGACTCATTGGAGCCTGTGTTGCCGCCTTCGTAATGTCGGTTTTGTTGGGTTTTTATTATTGCTGGCATAAGAAATAGGGGAATAATAAGAGTGATGCGATTGGTTTTGGGTTGGATATGAAGGAGGTGGAATCGAGGCCGCGAATGAGTCCTAATGCGGGGTTAATTTAGTTCAAGATTGATGAGCTTTCCAAGGCAACTAAGAATTTTTTGCAGAAGAATTTCATCAGGATAGGTGGGTTTGGTGTTATGTATAAAGGGACTTTGTCAGATGGGACGATGGTTGCTGTGAAACAACTGATCGAATCCAATTTTCAGGGGAATGAAGAGTTTTGTAATGAAGTTAAGATCATTAGCAAGTTGAAGCATAGAAATTTGGTTCCACTTAGAGGTTGTTGTGTGATTGGTGAAGAAAATTGAGAGTATAAAGATGGGGAAAGGTGTTGTTCCAACCCACATGCATGAAAAACATGGGAAGGCAACCAACCAAGTCAAGCTTGGCAGCCACCAACCATAGCAAGGGTCAAGAGCATTGACATGGCCTCAAAGAAAGAGCATAATTTTAGATGTGGCAAAAGGGTTAGCTTATCTTCACTATGGAGTCAAGCCTTCTATATATCATAGAGACATTAAAGCCACAAATATACTTTTGGATGCTGATATGAGAGCTAGAGTGGCTGATTTTGGGTTAGCAAAGCAAAGCAGAGAAGGGCAGTCTCATCTCACTACTAGAGTAGCCGGTACACATGGTTACTTAGCCCCTGAGTACGTGTTCTATGGGCAATTGACAGAGAAAAGCGATGTTTATAGTTTTGGGGTGGTTATTTTGGAGATAATGTGTGGAAAGAAAGCTCTTGATTTGTCTTACAATGGATCGCCAAGGGCATTTCTGATCACAGATTGGGCTTGGTCGTTCATGAAGGCAGGGAAAATAGAGGAGGATTTGGATAATTCTTTGTTGGGAGATGGAAATTCGGCGAATTCGAATCCAAAGGCTATCGTGGAAAGATTTGTGCTTGTTGGAATTTTGTGTGCTCATGTGATGGTGGCTCTAAGGCCAACTGTTTTGGACGCAGTGAAAATGTTGGAAGGAGATATTGAGGTTCCTATAATCCCTGATAGGCCAATGCCTCTTGGGTATCCTTCTTTTTCCAGGGATGGGAATACCTTCAGCATATCGCCAGCGGTGAGTGGACCTAAATTGAATTCTGGAGACATGCTAAGGTGATTGAGAGAACTTGTAATGTTTGTATATCTCTTTATTGATCAAGAGGATAGATGGAGATGGAAACCAGAATCTTGGAAGTCCTTTTTGGAGTTGATTCATGGAATGAAATAGAGAAGATGAGGAATTCAAGAAAAAGCCAAATTCCTCTAAATACATTAATCAATTGAAGGAATTGAAAATGGGTGTGAACCTAGATTTCCTACACCATGGATCTTTCTGGTGCGTGGAATAAAAATGATTACTCGCAATGAACAAAATAGGAAGATAGCAGAAATAATGAATATTTTCATTAGCATGACCAAGCATGATGTGAGTTTTTTGAATGTTGCGATTTATAAACTTTTACACAATAATAATGTGAAAAGCACCATTGAGCTTAGTCATAAAATGTTGAGTGTGTACTAGTTTCTTATAGTTTACATGTATTGAGTTTGATTCAAAATGATGAATCAAACAATATTGTGAAATTATTCTTGGAAGTGGGGAAAAAATTATGACAGTATTTTGTATTTTGCTCCATTTTAGTGAAAATTCTCATTTCTGTCCGTGGACGTAGGCATTGGGCCGAACCACGTAAATATTGTGTTCTCTGTGTGTGTGAGATATTTTTCTGGGTGTGTTTGATCCTAACAAAAGGCAGAGGTACCTTGTTTATGATTACATGCCAAATGGAAATCTTGATGATCATTTGTTTTGGTCTAAGAAATAGAGTATGGTTAGGAAGCAGGCATTGACATGGCCTCAAAGAAAGAGCATAATTTTAGATGTGGCAAAAGGGTTAGCTTATCTTTACTCTGGAGTCAAGCCTTCTATATATCATAAAGACATTAAAGCCACAAATATACTTTTGGATGCTGATATAAGAGCTAGAGTGGCTGATTTTGGGTTAGCAAAGCAAAGCAGAGAAGGGCAGTCTCATCTCACTACTAGAGTGGCCGGTACACATGGTTACTTAGCCCCTGAGTACGTGTTCTATGGGCAATTGACAGAGAAGAGCGATGTTTATAGTTTTGGGGTGGTTATTTTGGAGATAATGTGTGGAAAGAAAGCTCTTGATTTGTCTTACAATGGATCGCCACGGGCATTTCTGATCACAGATTGGGCTTGGTCATTCATGAAGGCAGGGAAAATAGAGGAGGATTTGGATAATTCTTTGTTGGGAGATGGAAATTCGGCGAATTCGAATCCAAAGGCTATCGTGGAAAGATTTGTGCTTGTTGGAATTTTGTGTGCTCATGTGATGGTGGCTCTAAGGCCAACTGTTTTGGACGCAGTGAAAATGTTGGAAGGAGATATTGAGGTTCCTATAATCCCTGATAGGCCAATGCCTCTTGGGTATCCTTCTTTTTCCAGGGATGGGAATACCTTCAGCATATCGCCAGCGGTGAGTGGACCTAAATTGAATTCTGGAGACATGCTAAGGTGATTGAGAGAACTTGTAATGTTTGTATATCTCTTTATTGATCAAGAGGATAGATGGAGATGGAAACCAGAATCTTGGAAGTCCTTTTTGGAGTTGATTCATGGAATGAAATAGAGAAGATGAGGAATTCAAGAAAAAGCCAAATTCCTCTAAATACATTAATCAATTGAAGGAATTGAAAATGGGTGTGAACCTAGATTTCCTACACCATGGATCTTTCTGGTGCGTGGAATAAAAATGATTACTCGCAATGAACAAAATAGGAAGATAGCAGAAATAATGAATATTTTCATTAGCATGACCAAGCATGATGTGAGTTTTTTGAATGTTGCGATTTATAAACTTTTACACAATAATAATGTGAAAAGCACCATTGAGCTTAGTCATAAAATGTTGAGTGTGTACTAGTTTCTTATAGTTTACATGTATTGAGTTTGATTCAAAATGATGAATCAAACAATATTGTGAAATTATTCTTGGAAGTGGGGAAAAAATTATGACATAGAAGATTTAGTTCATACTTGTAACATTTCGATTGTTGTGTATGTTCAAAGAGTATGAGTTGATAATATTTAATCTCTTTTTGATCAAATTCTCTTTTTCTTTAATTTTGATTGTATAAGGAGAGATAATGAGCGGTTTGAAAGAAATGCGACGTTTAATTTGATAGTGTTTACTTGTAGGGTGTTGACTTGGATTGTGGTGCCGGTGGATGCTAGAAGTGTTGATGTGGTGAGAAAGACGACAATAAGAAGATAGGGGAAGGAAAGAAGAAGAAGGTAGTAAAGTTGGGGTGGCAGTTGTCGTGGGCTTGGTTAAGAGAAGGGATGAGTGAGGTGATGGTTTGATGTAAGGGAGAATTTAAGGGTGAAAAAATAAATTCCACCTTGAAAATAGCGGATAATTTTATCATTTGGTATATAAAATATAAAATACATGAACGTTAAAATGTAATTTCGTCACATATGTTAACATTGTTTATTATACTACTCTTATAAGATTAGTATGACGTTTCCAAACTAATGAAATCAACTATATTTATCTCATCTATCAGTGGAAGTCAAAAACTCACATTAAAAGTTAAAAAAAAAAAAAGAATTATACACATATTTATTAAATTTTTTACTAAAAATACAAATGATCAAGTATGATTGGTTGTGAAAAAAAATGTAAATCTCTAATGTGATGTATCGTTTTACATACCAAAAATAAATACTAAATTGTATAAAATTTTTAAGAATAATGGTAAGTCCAGATATTGATCCATAGGGACAAATGTGAAATTAAACTAATTTAATTGTTAAATTCCTAAATTAATTTTGACCAACAAGATGATGGTTCATAGACTAATAATAATTAAAAGAAACTAAGAGATTAAACTAGCAATTAAAATTGAAGTTGAAGATCTTAAAAATTATTAGTAATGAAAATATATTTCTCACCAAATAATCTTAAAATATTTAAAATCAAGTTTTTTTTTTTAAATGTAAAATTATTGGTGATGAAAATATATTCCTCACTAATAATTTTGTAATTAGTTACAAATTTTTTTCTCACCAAAAGTTTTAAAATTTTGGCGCCATCAAAAAAATTAGTGGAAAAACCTTCGATAATGAAACATAATTTTTCCTCACCAAAAAAGAAGTATTTATTGACGAAAATAAATTTCGTCACCTATTATTTTTATTTTTTATTATATGTGACAAAATTTTATAATTCGTCACGAATTGTTCTTATTTAGAGACGAAATTTATTTTCTTCACTACTTTTCGTCACAATATGTTACTTTTGTTGTAGTAAGATAATGATTTTGGCAAAAACCTAGGGTTATGATTTCACCACTAGTTACATAAAATAAGGTCTCAAATTATGAATCAATTATGTTATGGTTCAAAACTAACTAATACTTCACAACTACAAGTTTGAAGTATTGATCAAGATGATTATCACTCTCAATGTATAGGCACAAACCATCTCAAGTAGGGCGAGTCATTTGCTCTTAGCTAAGATAGGAACATGACTTGTCTATCGTAGTATAGCTCGTTTTATACCTTGAATGCAAAAGAATAGAAAATCATTGCATAGAAAGCATTCAAGCATTCAACAATCATAGAAAATAAAATACTTGAAAAGAAAAATGAAAAATATATTTAAAAATTTCTTGAATACCATTCAACTCGTTCAAACCATTACAACAATGAAAACCAAAGAGAAAATCCTATTTACTTGGTTAGGGTTTCATCAAAACTCTATAAATAGAAGAATTAGCCACTCATGGAGGAGTGGGAAGAGATAAAGGAAGAGGAAACCCCCATAGAAGATGTTCTTAAAGCTTGAGAACCTTTTTCTTCAAACCCTAGCCCCTCATCTTTTTTGAAAAAATTTCAGAACCGTCTTCGAGCTTATTTTTCCTTCTTTTATTCTCAACAAAAGGAAATCAAAATTTCGCGCATATGTCCCTAGGTTGGTCACTCGAGCGCCTACATTTTTCGCTCGAGCGGTAATGGACCGCACGTGTGATGAAGTCTGGCCACATGAGCAGTGAGATGGCAGGCTGAGAAATTTCATTGCTTGAGCGGAGAATTTGCTTGTGTGCCACTTTTCGCTAGAATTTCCATGTTACTTGCCAAATCTACACAAGTACACAAAACACATCATTTTCACTAAATAATCATAATTTAAAAACTATAAATGTAACTTAAGTGGCTTCAATATGATTCCTTTCGACCTTCATCATAATGATATTTGAACATAAATACTTTTAATAAGATTGTTAGTAAGATTTTAAATAGATGTAATATTGCTTTTAAAAAAATGCTCATTAAACTTAAATTAAAAATCAATAAAAAAAGCTGGTCAATCTTATCTACCAAAGACTTTTAAATCTTTCCTCAAAAGAAAAAAGAAAAAAAAGAAAGAAAGAAAGGAAGGCTTTTTAAATCAAATTTGATTTTTATTGTAAAAATCAATTATAACTCCCTTTATTGTTATCATTGTCTAACAAATTTGTCTCTAATATAACACCGAGATTTCATCAAGTGCAATAGAAATTTATTGTACTCAATTAAAAAGATAAATAAGAGTAATGTTATAGAAATTAACAAATATTATAGGGCTTTTTTTTTTAGAGTCCCTGGTATTAAGACTTTATAATATAAAGGACATCTAATATTTTCATAATGTCTAAGGTCCCTCAATTTGATCTAGAGAAATTCTGCTCCAGAGAAATTTTGATCTAAAGAAATTCTGGTACAGAGAAATTCTCTCCAGAGAAATTCTATGTTTCTCTCCAATCTAGAGAAATTTCTCTGGACCTCTGAGAGAATTTCTCTGGACCTCTGAAAGAATTTCTCTCTACAGAACTAGAATTTCTCTGGGAGGTTTCTCTATTTCTCTAGACCTCCCAGAGAATTTCTCAGAGAAAATTTACACAATGGCTAAAATCCCAGAGAATTTCTCTGGATAGAAATTTAGTTCAAATTAGAATTTCTCTAGTCCAAACAGACACCGTATATATACGTAAGAGTACTAATTCTGTTATGTATCTGTGTGTGTGTGATAAGTAGAGTATATCATTCTAAATTTAACAAGTAACACTAGTTCAACTATGTACAACTTAGCAGCACAAATAACATAGGTACAAAAACCAATTTAAATTCAAATCTTCATCAAGTTGAATTGAGTGGTCTAGACTGAAGCTAGAACAGGTTTCAAATTATTAGTGTCTGATGTAAAAAGAGGCATCTTTTAAGCAATATAGTGGTTGTAATTCAATGATCTTGGAGGTTAAATGGTTTTACATATCAAACTTGAAAAAGAAAGCAATCATTTTCATTATCATCAAACAATTTTTAGTAACATACACTGCAAATAACTGAAACAGCAAGTAGTAGACATTTGAAAGCAAAAGAATATGTTTAACTGGGGAGACATTAACAATTGATTCTACAAAATACACAGAATTATGAAGAAATCTACTCACTTCAGATTAATAGTTCTTCTATGAGTTTGTGATAGATTTTCTTTAAACTTAATGCTATGAATTTCTCTAGGTTCAACCCAAAGAAAATTCAAATTTCTCTGGATATAAATTTTTTCCAGAGAAAATGAATGAAGAATTTCTCTGAATCACTTTAAGCCAGAGAAATTCTCTCAAAATCAATGAAATTCCTAAAGAAACATTTCCAGAGAAATTCTCTTTAACCCAGAGAAAATTCAGTTCAAATAAAAAAAAAATTCAATCCAAACCAAAGAATTTCTCTGGACCAACCCAGAGAAAATTTAGTTCAAATCAGAATTTCTCTAGTCCAAACACACACCATATATATACGTAAGAGTGCCAATTATGTTATGTGTCTGTATGTGTGATAAGTAGAGTATATCATTCTAAATTTAACAAGTAACACTAGTTCAACTATACACAACTTAGCAGCACAAATAACATAGGTACAAAAACCAATTTAAATTCAAATCTATTGAAAGTTGAATTGAGTGGTCTAGACTGAAGCTAGAACAGGTTTCAAATTATTAGTGTCTGATGGAAAAAGAGGCATCTTTTAAGCAATATAGTGGTTGTAATTCAATGATCTTGGAGGTTAAATGGTTTTACATATCAAACTTGAAAAAGAAAGCAATCATTTTCATTATCATCAAACAATTTTTAGTAACATACACTGCAAATAACTGAAACAGCAAGTAGTAGACATTTGAAAGCAAAAGAATATGTTTAACTGGGGAGACATTAACAATTGATTCTACAAAATACACAGAATTATGAAGAAATCTACTCACTTCAACATAGAAAATAGAAGAAAAATATCTTTAAGAATTTCTCTGGATCACTTTAAGCCAGAGAAATTCTCTCAAAATCAATGAAATTCTTAAAGAAACATTTCCAGATAATTCTCTTTAACCCAGAGAAAATTCAGTTCAAATAAAAAAAAATTCAGTCCAAACTAAAGAATTTCTCTGGACCAACCCAGAGAAAATTTAGTTCAAATCAGAATTTCTCTAGTCCAAACACACACCATATATATACGTAAGAGTACCAATTCTGTAGAAAAATATTGTACTGTTACGCTACACCATATATCAGAATTTTCCTACTTGCTATCAGATTCTCAATGGTGTTTTCATCCGCCTTCTGTCCCGTGACAGTGAAGTACCTTCGCTCTACTGTTTCCTTGTATTCATCCGCCATTTTGCCTCTCAACCATTGAAAATCATCCATTATGTCCTTGAGTTTCTTTCCCAAACCACTAACTACGGAAATCCAAGTTCGATCCGCAGATGACCCCGGACTGCAATCGGGAAGTTTGCGGTGAGCTGCATTAGACTGTTCTAGACCTTCAAGCTTCTTCTTGATGACCTTGACCCGTTTTAAGACCTGGCCAACATCCGAGCTCATTCTGGCTCAAAGCTCCTTCATGGTTTTGGCATTGTGGACAGTTTTGCTCTCTTCATTGGATTCCTGCAACTTATTGTAGAGTTTTTTGACGTCTCTCATGTCTTCCTTGACATTCTCGACATCCTTGAAAAACCTATTGAGGTTGCCTTCCTCGTTCCCAGCTTGTCTAGGGCTGATTATTCAGAGTTGGGATTTGGGGGTAGGGTAGATGGAGATCTTGAAATTTTTGTTCATTTGGTTGTAGGGGAGAGAGAGAGAGAGGAATTGTGGGCAAAAGTCAAATTTCTCTAATATATGTTTAGGGACTTTAGACATTAAAAAATAATTTTGTAGATCTCTTCCATTACGAAAAATGGGGAAGGGACCCTAGATTGATTTTCTCAATATTATAACTACTTGCATTTAATTTCTAAAATTTTATTACTATACGTGACATCAATTAATATAAATAAAAAAAATCTTAATATTTGACTCTCATAACAAAACCAACTTTGAATATTTAATTTTGTCCATTTAAATATTATTTTTTAATTTAAACTGTCAGTATACTTTGGTTAAATGAAATCAATGAAAATATAATATTTTAGTTATTAAACTCATATTTAGATATATAAAATATCTAAAATATTATATTTTGTTCAATCTAATGACTAAAGTATAATTTTTTTGTCATTTTACATTACTAAAATAGGTAGATGATTTAAATTAAAAATAAATCAAAAATATAGATAAAATTAAAAATTCGGAATTAATTTTCTTGTCAAATCTTAAATTTATTTTTTTGTAATTTCTTTAAAAAATTATTATTTAGTTATTTTGTAAAATGTAATTTTTCGCTGACGAATCGTGCAATGCCACGTCAAATAAATGGCGTGGATATGGAACTTGACCCATTAATTGACAAAAATACCCCCAATCTTCCCAACTAATAGACAATAAAGTCCCTCTACACTTAACGTGGCATGATTTGATTAGTATAACGGTGTCAACCAAGCAAAGACAATGGTGAACCCTAGCATTGCTCACTGACTTTCTCTCCTGCTTAAACTCTGCTGTGCGAAGTCGTCGTCTTCGCAATCGTCTCCTTCGGTTCACCGAAGCCATAGATCTCTGTACAAGAGCCCTTATGCGAATCAATGGCGATACTCTGATCTGATCAGCCCAGAAAGTTTAAACTCAATTAGGTTTCAGGAATGTGGACCCATTTTAGATCTGGGTGTTGGGTTCTGTTCGTTTTCGTTGGATTTCTGAGCCTTTCTGGGAATTTGGTCTCTGTGGAGAGTCGTCGTCCCAAGAACGTGCAAGTGGCTCTTCAGGCCAAGTGGTCTGGTACCCCACTACTTTTAGAAGCTGGGTATGTTCTTTTTCATGGGTTTTGTGAAATTGTTGCTCGTTTTTGTTTATTTATGTGAATCTTTGCTTAAATCATCATAGTTTGGTTTGGTGTATTTTTTTTTATTTTTTTTGGGCTTAGGCAGAACAATACTTATTTTAGTTAGCTTTTACATTGCTGAATTGGACTTTGATTTTCCATGGGTGCATTGCAAGTTTTTACTCTAATCCTTACTTTTTTTCTTTTTTTTTTTCTCATCAGATTTTTTTGAAAATTGTTAACGTATCTTTTTAGAGAAATTCTACTGCATATGCACCCCTATTATGCCTTTTTTTCTTTAGTTATGACCAATTTTCTTTCTTTTAGTTATGACAATAGTCATGAGATCTTTGGTTATGCTTCTGGTGTGTGGTTATGATTTTTTTTTTTGGTTAGTTATGACGTATAAAGTATGGGTTATACCATTTTTTTTCTGTAGTCATAAGGTATAGTCTTTCTCATCTTGTTATGAAAGAAAATAATTTAGAATCCTTATTTTTCAGTAAAAATAAGACAGATGGAAATTTGATGAATGATTTGGTTTACCCTCAATTTGATCAAAGGGTGGGAGATTGTTTTTATCAGGATGAAATTGTTCAACGTGAGAATTTTTCAAGAGTTGCAGTTCACACGAAAAAAAAAATAAAAAATAGCATACTTCTTTTCATGAAATTATAGTATGATTTCGTCCCAAACGTTCTGGATTTGGACCTTTCCCATCTCATAAAGTCCTCTCCCCATCTTATCCCCGCAAGACTGTACAATAATGTATAGAGCTGAATGGTGATAAAAAACTGATTTCTGTAGCCTTACCCAAACAGTAATTCCAATAGTTGCCACTGGAATTTGGAAGTTGAGCTAATTAGCTAACTATTGATTAATTGCAAAGCGACTTCCCTATTCAGTTCTTCAATTTTGAGTGCTTACTAACTTTATTGTATTATTTGATAGTGAATTGCTTTCTAAAGAATGGAAAGACTATTTTTGGGAGTTCATTGAGGTCTGGCATCACAATGAGGATGCTGATTCACAAACAGCCAAAGATTGTTTAAAGAAAATTGTTAAATATGGGCAATCTTTATTAAGTGAACCTCTAGCATCACTCTTTGAATTCTCTCTTACTCTGCGATCAACATCCCCAAGATTAGTGCTGTACCGGCAATTAGCAGTGGAGTCTCTTTCTTCTTTCCCCCTGTATGATGATATTAACTCTCAATCTGTCAACGGAGGGATTCCCGAAACAAATGAAAACGTGGAAAGCAAGAAGGTTGAACCATTGCTTGTTGGCATGAACCCAAGAAGTCCTGGGGGGGAGTGTTGCTGGGTGGATACTGGTGGGGCATTCTTTTTTGATGTTTCAGAGTTCCAAACATGGCTTCATAGCCCTAAGGAATCGTAAGTCCTGTTCCACATTTTTCAAAGTAGAAGTATTTTTTATTATTATTTATAATTATGTATAAAAAAATCTAAATCAGATGTAAGTCATTTACTTCTCAGTTTGCACCTTGACAATACGTGTTTTATTCCCAGTGCTCGGGATTCATTTCAGCAGCCAGAACTTTATGAATTTGATCACATCCATTTTGATTCAAGTATTGGAAGTCCAGTTGCAATATTGTATGGTGCTCTTGGGACTGATTGCTTCAGAGAATTTCATGTCGCATTGGTGGCAGCAGCCAAAGAGGTCCACTACCTGATGCTAAGCTATATTATTTTTCCTTGTTACTACATTTTTTATGTACCTAATGGTGAGCTATTTCATAGGGTTGTGCTATTACTGGTGTATCATCAGTAAATATAGATTTTTCCATACTTACAGTGAGCATTTGTCAAAATAGATTAACATCAGGCTGCTTTAGTGATTGATTCCCATTTATCACATAATTGAGTTGTATTTTTCCCCACATGCATCCTGTATATCAAAAACTCATTGGATACTCCTACGCACAAGTCCATGTCTCAGACAGAGTGGTAGAATCTTTCTAGGATAGACTAGAGTGAGTGTATAGTATAATTAGATGAGAAGACATCATAACTTCATAAGCCGTTTACAAGCTTCAGTAGTTTCTTTTATCGTTTTCTTTGTTTAGTAAATCCATTAGAAGTGCCACAAAGATTGCATGTATATTGGAATTGTAAAACTAGCTGATGTGCAGAAAAAATCTCAATCGTACATGTACCTCTCTCCCTCTCTCTCTCTCTCTCTCTCTCTTTGATTTCATACTTCTATTGTTCTTTTTTTGTACGACTCTATTGTATTTGATTTAATTATCTGATGGGATTTTCGGACAACACACAAAAGTTATGTAGGGGATCTGACTGAAAATACTACCAAAAGCTGTGCTACTTTTAACCTAAAGTTCTGTCTGGCAGTGTACAGCTTTTTGTTGATTTAGATAATATATATATGTACTTGGAGTAGCATATTCATTTCAATGTACCAATTCAATTCTTTATGCTTTCTTATTTTTGAATTTTGAGACATTATTCTTTGATTTTTCTTTTACTCTAATGGGGTATGCTGTTGACTTCCAGGGAAAAGTCAAGTACATTGCTAGACCTGTGTTGCCTTCTGGTTGTCAATCAAAAAGTGGCCATTGTGCAGCTGTTGGTACAAATGATCCAGTAAACTTGGGTGGCTATGGTGTAGAACTTGCTCTGAAGAATATGGAATACAAGGCTATGGATGATAGTGCAATAAAAAAAGGTTAGCATGCCTAACTCATGCTATTCTGCTAATTTAGGGCTAGTTTGGCATGTACTAAATAAGTCAAAAAGTCAAAAAGTCACTATCTTATTTAAGTCACATCATCTTATTTAAATCACATCACCTCTCTAACACATCACATCAAACCCAACCCAAACCCAACACAAACCCACCAATAAGTCAAAAAGTGCACTTTTTTAGGACATTCCAAACCAACCCTTAATTGCCCAACTTTGAAAGCTATGCAAAGTTTCATTCTCTTCCAGTTATGAAACTCCATAGATGGTGTCGTTGAAACCTGTCTTCCACTTCATTTATAAAAATATGAATTGTACTCTAAACTGAAATTATGCGCTATACCTCGTAGTTTTTATTAATCAGTTCTATGGCGCTGAATTATGGGTGGCATGAGTATCCCAAAAAGTTATCCTAATATCCTCCTGTTGTTTCTCTTATAAGGAGTTTCTTTTGCTTTTTCTCTTTGAAATGATCTATGCCAGTCAACTCTTCTTCTGATGCCTTTTCCAACAAAGTTATGCATTTCTAAATTGTGATATTTTACTTCAGAATGTGTGAATTTGATCTGTTATTTGTTAACGTATCTCTATTGTCCTTATCTCATTCCTATAGGTACAGTGTTTTAGTTCTTTGATTTGAGTTAGGAATTGATTCTTAAACAATATGATGTCTGAGATGCAGGTGTAACTCTTGAAGATCCTCACACTGAAGATCTCAGCCAAGAAGTTAGGGGCTTCATATTCTCTAGAATTCTGGTTCGTTTCTGAAAGTCATATTTGCCTCAATTGCAATTCCATTTCAAAATATTTTTGGTCACTTCTATGGCTGCATTAAGTGCTGATCTTTCTCTCTATACATGATCTAGATATAGTTAGCAGATGTTGTATGTTTACTAGAGACAATTATAACTTTTTTGCTTTTTTTTTTTTTTTTTTTGGATGGAGAATCTTTTTTGGCTGAAAACTCAAGTTTGAAAAATGTTTTGAAGCAATCAGGAGTAGACTTTTCTTCATTCTGTAACAGCCTATCACATATAGGAAAATAAAGTTCTGCTTGCTCAGAAACAGATTCTTAATAGCAAAGACACGGATACTTGGCACGAACATGACACAACATAGATATAAATACTAAAACAAGACATAGACATGTTTTCACATTAGAATAATGAAAATTACGTATAAACATTGGAATAATTAAAAATGTCCATTGCATACTTGAGTTGTGGCAGTCATGTCTATGATGCCAATGTCTTGCATTTCTTCCTTTATCTATTTATTTGAATAAATGGTTGGGTGCTTTTGGTATGTTCATCCTTTTAATAAGGATGTTCGTAGGGCTACAATTGTTGGCCTTGTGTTTGAGTAAGTGTTAGCCGAGGCCCCAAAGTTGCAAAGCATATTTAATAATGTACAAACCCAAGAAGTATCTCAAGTCTCTAGGTGTGTCCAAGTGTAGGTATTGAAGCAGTGTTCTACATGGACACAGCGTATTTGTGTTCATGCTGCTAAGATTGTAGTGGGTTGCTAAATGGTATGGAGAAGTCTAATTTAACTATAAGCAGTTAGACTATTAACATTTTTTGACAAATACTTTATTGATTACTATTATTATTTTTATTGTTATATTTAGTAAGACGAGAAAATTGACTATCACTAATACATAGGATACAGTTACATCATGGAAATGAACTTTTTTCAATAAACCTTAAATGTTGTACGTATCATTTTCTGATTTCCAATGAATCACAAATCTGAAACTGAAAATAGAAGTAATTTAATTAGCTGCGGAGAATGATTAGAAAATATGAACAATAATATGTGACACGAGTTTTTTTGGTGACATTTAAAATCTGCCAGCATTTTATGACTGCCTTTACTTGGGTGTTGAAAATTCCTTCTTAGAACCTTGACTGTACTGGCAACATTATTTTTTAAGAGAATTTTACTGAAGTTTATAAATTCTTTTGTGTCCTCATGCAGGAACGCAAACCCGAATTAACCTCTGAAATAATGGCTTTTAGGGATTATCTTCTGTCATCAACAGTATCTGATACACTTGATGTTTGGGAATTAAAGGGTAAATACCGTGATTATTTATCCATTGGCAGATTTATGTTAAAATTTCTTATACTGGAGTTTGTATAATGAGCTCACTTCGTTATTCCCCAACAGATTTAGGGCACCAAACTGCCCAAAGGATTGTTCATGCCTCAGATCCCTTGCAGTCTATGCAAGAAATCAATCAAAATTTCCCTACTGTTGTCTCTTCCTTGTCCCGTATGAAGGTAAAATATGCCGTTGCACATGATGTGAACTAAAACTAAAATTGCTTTGGTTCCTGTAAAATTAAAATTTGTACCCCGAGATCTAATGCCATTGTATTAGGCGATAAGATCTTAATGTAATTAACCTGTGCAGCTCAATGATTCGATTAAAGATGAAATAGCAGCAAACCAGCGAATGATTCCTCCCGGCAAGTCCCTAATGGCTCTGAACGGTGCTTTAATCAATATTGAAGATATTGACCTTTATCTGTAATGCTTTCAGTTACTCTGGTTTCTTTTACTTTTAGTGTTTTTTAATTTTTCATTTCTGATTTATTTTTCTTCTTAGACATGATATTATATCTGTTTTTTTGGATATGATATTTCTGCACTCTCATAACCCTTTCAGAGAGTGCAGAAATTAAAACCTAGGATAAACTTGTAATGGTCACCACCAGTGCTGAAAACTGGATGCTCAAAATTTAAATGAAGGAAAGGTTGCTGTGTGATTGAGATAATGTTGTTTTTTTATTTGTTTCAGTCCCCGTCCCTTCTCTTTTTTTGTTTTTGATCAGCAACAGAAAAGTAAAATTTTATTAAGGCACATGGCCAAAAAGAAGAGAGGATAAGGCATCCTCAACAAGAAAAAAGAAAGAATAAGACAACCAAAAAGAAAACCAAACCAAAAGACGACCAACTACAAATTATACAAAAAAAACTGACACCCAATTTGAAGCAATCAAAAAAGAAGGAATCCCTCGGAACACAGGACTCGCCGAGGCCCAAAAAGACGCCAAGTATCTCACTCTATCCCATAAATAATCTATATCCCTAGTTCCTCCTTCAAAGATATGCCCATTCCTTTCCAACCAAATGACTCGGGAGATTGCAAAGACTACACAACTCCAAAGAACTTTAGCCCTCTTCGACCTTCCAAAAACTTGAAAATCAAATAAAAGCATTTGAGCAACTCCTTTAGGAGCCACCCACTGTACATTACCCAAACCAAACACCCTATTCCACAAAAGCCCTGCCACCGAACAGTGCAAAAAAAGATGATCCAGAGATTCTCGGCTTTTGCAACACATTATGCACCATTGACGATTAAGATACCATGAAGGTCTCCTCGTTTGCAATGAATCATTTGTCAAAGTGCCCCCATGAACCAACATCTACATAAACACTTTCACCTTAAGAGAAGCACATGCTTTCCAAATCTTTTTGTGAAACAAAAATTGAGGTAGATGCGGAATATCAATGATTTTGTCCAGAAAAGATATACAAGTAAAAGAGACCGACGAATGAATATTCCAAAACCACCGATCCTCCAAATTTGGAGACAAAGAAACATTTTCAAGCCTTGACAATAAAGATATCAACTCAGGAATTTCCCTACCATGAAGGTTTTGGAAAAAATTAAAATTTCACAAACAAGGAGCCAACGAAAAAACAGCCACGGACGCAACAGAACAATTTTGAGACTGAGAAACTCTATATAGAAGTGGATAGGACTCAGCAAAGGACAAAGAACCCACCCAAACATTCTCCCAAAATGTTACCGTGTCCCCCTTACCCACCCTCATAGAAATGAATTGGGACCAAATTGGATAAATATAAGAAATTGACTTCCATGGAGCACGCCCATTACCCCTACAAACCACCTAAGAGTCCCTATCATTAACATGCAACCCATATTTACTTTTGATAACATCATGCCATAATGAACCACGTTCGATTGGGAATCTCCATAACCACTTGCCCAACAAAGCCATGTTTCTAGCCACTGTGTTACGAGCTGCCAAGCCCCCCTTCTCCTTTGGTAATGACACTGTTTCCAATTTCACCAAATGATCCTTACTTCCTTTATCCTTCCCTTCCCACAGAAAATCCCTCATTAGCTTTTCTATGGATTTTGCTACCTTGACCGGAATCTTGAACAAAGACATGAAATAAATAGGAATCCCACTTAGTATTGTCTTGACCAAAGTGTACCTATCCCCAGGGGACAATAAGGCCTTAGTCCACCCTTCTAACCTCTTACCCATCCTTTCCACCACTGGATTCCAAAACATTTCACCTCTTGGGTTACCTCCCAGTGGGAGGCCTAAATACTTCATAGGAAATGTCTCAATCCCGCATCCAATTAAGTTGGCCACACTCTGAATCAGTCTTGAATCAGCATTATTACCCGCTACTCTACTCTTTTCTAAATTAACCTTAAGCTCTAAAAGTGCCCCAAAAAGCCTTACCATTGAAAAAAGGTTTGCCATTTGGCACTCATCCCCCGTAGAGAAGAAAATAGTGTCATCCGCAAATTGTAGATGTGACACACTAATCCAATCTCTACCGACCTGTAAGCCTTCAAACAGGCCTACTTCTTTAACTTTGTCAACCATCCTACCTAACACATCCACTACCAAAATGAATAGAAAAGGAGATAAAGGGTCTCCCTGTCTCAACCCTCGCGAGGCCTTAAATCACTTCCCTAGTTTACCATTAACTATCACCGACATATCACAAGACACCAAACATCCCCTAATCCATGATCTCCATCTCGCACCATACCATTTCTTGTTCATCATGAAATCCAAAAAACGCCAATCTTCATAATCATACGCTTTCTCAAAATCTGCCTTAAACACAAGGCCTACCTTCCCCGACTTCCGGCACTCCTCTACCACTTCATTTGCTGCTAGAACCACGTCTATAATCTGTCTACCTTGCACAAAAGCCCCCTGTGTCAGAGAGATTGTGGGTATGTTTGGTTTCAGTTTTAGAGATGAGTTTTAGAAAAAAAATTTCAAAAAATTGTTTGGTTTGAGATTTTTCTCAAAAAATTTCCAAAATCACTTTCTCTCTCTTACACATCAATCAATCACTTTTTCTCTCTCCTCTCTTATTCTCAATCACTTTTTCTCTCACACACATCTACCCAATTACAACAAAATATCAAATCATCCCAAACTCCCAAACTCCAAAATTACTTTCAAAATATACAACCAAACAAACCAAAAAAATTTCTAAAACAGCTCTCTCAAATTTTTTTCAAAAACAACTCTCCCAAAAACAAACTAAACAAGCCCTGTATTTCCTAAAGAAGATCTCAACCTTTTTGACAATACCTTATCCAAAATCTTGTAGAGTGATGTAATCAAACTAATGGGTCTAAATTCTCCCATTCTAATGGCTCCATCCCTCTCAGGAATCAAACAGATAAATGTGGCATTTGTACATAAATTAACCACCCGTCTCGTAAAATTCCATGAAAACTCTTACCAAATCCCCCTTTACCACCTCCTAGCAATCTTGAAAAACAGCCATGGAAAACCCGTCTGGACCCGGAGCTTTGTCCCTTTCACACTCAATAATTGCTTCCCTAATCTCGTTTTCCTCAAAGGTCGCTCTAATCACGTCACACTTTCCTGATCAATAGGCTGCCACTCAAGCCCATCTATCCTAAGCCTGACAATATTATCCATCGAAAACAAATTAGAATAAAAATAAAAAATCCCCTAGACTATTTGCTCCTCTCTATCCACCACTACACCTGGCCTTACTTCTAATCGCTTAATGAACTTCTTCTTCCTTTTTCCATCCGCAATTCTATGAAAATTTTTTGAACTAACATCCCCTTCCTTTAGCCATTTCACCTTTGTTTTTGTGCCCAAAAAATCTGCTCCTTAAGAGTCAACTCTTCCAATTTCAAACCTAACTCCCTCCTCTCTCCCCTCAATGCCTCAATCTCACTCCCTTGCATCTCCAAAGTATCTATCTCCTCAATCCTTTGCAAAATCTGACATTTAGTTGATTCCAAGTTCCCAAAAACCTCCCTATTCCACTGTTTCACATTCTCTTTAATCACCTTCAACTTTCTTATGAATCTATAACCCTCCCACCCCCTGACATCTAGCAGTATTCCACCACTCCTCAAAGGTCTCTTTAAATGAATGATGTTCCGACCACATATTCTCAAATCTAAATGGAGCCGGACCCCGTACTCAAAGGACAACTCTCAAACATCACTGGACAATGATCAGATACCAATCTTGGTAACGCCTCCTACCTGACATTGGGGAAAACCCCCTCCCACCTCAAAGAAAATAAAAATCTATCCAGTCGATAACATACCCGACTTTACTTTAAATTAGACCATGTGAATCTAGCATTAAATAGAGGAGGGTCAACCAACTCGTACCCTCTAATAAACCCATCAAAATCTCTCATACTATTATTGATTTTGTTCCCATTAAGCTTTTCCAAAACCTTCCTAACCACATTGAAATCCCCCCCTCCTAAACACCAATTAGGAGAACATAACCCAAATAAACCATATAACTCATCCCACCAATCCTTTCGCCTAGAAGGGCAATTTGGACCATATACCCCCGACAACCACCACTCACTGAGGTCTAGATTCCTAAACCTAAGTGATAGTGAAAACCCGCCAACTACTGATTCACACTCTGACACAACCCTCTCATTCCAAATACTTAAAATACCTCTTGACCTTCCCACTGATGATACAAAAGCCCACCTTTTATGCCTAACTCCCCAAATATTTTTAATAAAAGTCCTATCACAAACCTCTACTTTAGTTTCTTGAAACATGACAATGTCAGGTTAATGTTTCCTCAAAAAATCCCTAATGATCCCCTTCTTCTTCCAGGATCCCAAACCCCTCACGTTCCAACTAACAATCTTCATTGATAATCATTGTCACCCCTAACCTGCTCATGCCTTCTATCGTAATTAATTGTACTCACCAAATTCCTTAACTCCCTGGCCCACTTTCTAACTGTAACCCCTCCTCGTCTAGTACTCTCCCCGCTAGTGACACTATTATCCAATCCACTAACATCACCCCTCCCATTTAAACTTACTAGGAACAGCCCCGTAACTTGAAGCAAATGTTTGAAATGAGGAACTTCATTTTCCTCAATTGGACATGACGCATACTTGCTTAACTCCATCAACCAACGCTCTATCTCTGCCTCACTATCCCTCAAACTACTAAAAGCACAGCGTCTGCTGTGCAAATGCTTAACAGACTCCCTCTTAAGCGTCAATTTACTTGACCTACATTTATATTTGCATTATAGGACACAGGGTTAATGGTAGAAACGTCCCTCAATGGGGTGAGCAGCGGATATATTGATCCGCCAAAACCGACAAAACCGAACCGAACCGATCCAGCGCATTTTGGACGGATGCGTGATGACGAGCGGACGGTTACGGATTGATTTTCTCCGATCCACCAATTTGGCGGACGAATGGCGGATTTGAGGTCTCTTTGGCCGCAACCGAACCGCTAAACCGCGAACACCCTTAATAATTTATAAGACTTTGTGTTTTCAATTTGTTTAATTATTTTGTTTGTGTTTTCAATTGAAAAAGAGTTTAAATATTCTGTTGAAAAAAAGTTTTCAACTTGAATATATTTTTTGAATTGAAAAAAATAAACGTATTATTTATTTATATTTTTTGATTTTTAAATCTAACTCTAAAAGTAATAAATAGAAAATATGATATATGCTGGTTGGTTTTTATTTTCAAAAATATATATAAATGTAACAATACAGAGACATACAATCTCTACTACTGTTCTGTTTATGGTTTTGGTGGTTTGAATTGTTTTTATATTTTAAGAACCACATATTGTAATACTTTATGTGGATAAGGCATGCTGTGATTGTAATATGTGGATGAGGCATGCAGTGATTTTGATATTCTAAAGTTTCAAACTTTCTTTCTTTGGATGAGGCATACAGTAATTGTAGTACTTTTTTAAGTCATTGACTGTAACATTTTTTTTATTTTTTTTTATTTTTAAGGAAGTGCACAAGTTGAACTATGTTGAAAATTTATAAAATTTCAAACCGCCAAACCGATTCGCATCTATCCGCCAATCCGCTCAATCCACATCCGCCGGATTGGATTGATTTTCTCCAATCTGCCAATCTGGCGGACGGATGGCGGATTGGAAGGTCCGTGGCCACAACCGACCCACGCCCACCCCCCTCATGGCTCCCGAGATATCTGGATTGACTCCTTTATCAGCCATTCCCCTGACAGAACACTTAAGACCAAGACATTGAGAGACCCCTATGCCCTTCCCAAGAGAAAAAGAATCTAGAATAACAATGTGACTCCTCTATGATGACGGATCTGTAGAGTCATGATTAACAGAGTCACTAACATGATCCATTGTTTCAAAGACCCCCTTAGTTTCGTCCTCCTTAACAGTCCCCTTTTCAGTTTCCTCCTCCTCTACAGTGCCCTTCTCAGTAAAAAGATTAATAAGCTTAAGGTCAGACTCTTCTTGATCATCTCCTTCACAGTCTGAACCAGAGACATACTCTAAACTCTCATCAGACCCATAAGCATTCAAGGCTTGCAACACTTCGGTAGGTTCGAAACACCCTTCATCCACATTGCAACTCAACAATTCAACATCATTCTCTTCTTCGATCCTTTCATCGACCCATTCATCCACTTCCGCCGCTAATCTCTACTCTTCTTCAACGGAGTCATCCACCCTATCAGCTAAACCAAGCTGAATCTCATCCTGCGTTAGTCGATTCGGACTATCCCTCTGTAAATACACATCACCTTCACCATCGACACCTCCTTGCGTCCCAGACGACTGCCATCGCTGGTCCCCCCTCTCTCTCTAAGTGGTCATCCTTCGTCGTCGAACAAGTCGGGTCGGAATTCAGCTCCCAGTGGTCGAAATTCAACTCGGATTCCCTCCTCCAAGATATGCACCCCATTCATATAACCCACTGGGCCGAATTCATTGGGATTGAACCCATCACTTCTTTGAGGCCCAGCATTATACTCCTTATATTGTTTAGAATATGGCTCATCCCTTGGAGAAACAGAGCTGGGTTTCTGATAATTAATCTCCTAGCCCACATTTAGTAAATCAATTGAGCCCAAAATACTACTTGGCCCATTATGCCCCTTCTGTGGCCCATTCGATAACACTCTAATCCCCCTATCCCTTGGTCTTCCCCCCAACCTCCACAACAACACCAAAGCTGTCCCCAGACCCTTCAACTTCTTCGCCCCTTCGACTTCTCCTTTCCAAGCTTCCACGTGTCCTCCCTGATCTTTTCACCCCATCGGCATCCCTGTCGACGGCGATAAGTTCGCCTGAAGATGCTGGTCGGAAAACCTTTGGCCACGCTTCCACTTGGTGGCGCACTATCTTGGACAAAGATTTTAAACACACCTTTGACGATCGTCCTTCCACCTTCACCTCCATGAACGCCGGCAAAAAACCAGAATCGAAGCCTCCGACTTTCAACCTAGCCTCAAAGAGATTGTCCAGAGCTATGGTTCTTCGATCAACTTCCAACAAACCACCACATCTCTCTCCTATGTACTGGAAAACCTGATCATTCCAAAGGGAAAAAGGCAAATCGCACACTGCAATCCACCCTCCATAAGAGACAATGACTTCTGGTTTAACATGCTTCTGCTCGGACCACTTCTCCAATCTAACTGCCACACCTTTATCAAAGAATCTCAGACCCTTTGCTCCTAGATGGCTCGCCTCCTCACTATTACTAGCCCAGACCAAAGCGCGATTGAGTTGAAATGGCCATAGAGCAATAGACATCTTTAAATACTTACTCAAATTCTTTTCAATTTGATCCCAGTTGCTTCAAAAGTCGCATCTTGCGTATACGACAGCCCTCTCCAGATCACTCTTTAAACTACTCAACCGATTCGCAGTGAACAAGTCAACGAACCTCCTCCCTCTGTTTGCCCCTGTTTTCCTACCCATAAACATCTCCTTTGTGTCCTTGCTCTGTACTCCTTCTGTGAAGTTAGCCCTGACTTCCATGCCTTTGAAATTTGCCCTGGTATCATTGCAAATGACTTTACAAAGCATTGTAGCAATGTCTAGCCACCCACGACCATTATACCCTGCTGGAAGAATGATGTGGCCTTTTTTAACACCTCCCTCCCACTTCGACATCTCAACAAAAAAAACCCTATCATTCTTATACTTCCGTAAACAGAAAACAGCAGAGCTGCTATGATACTTACTAAAGAAAGATCCTCCTCTGTAGTACGACCCCAACTGCTGAAACGCTTGGACAGCCCAGCTCACTCCTCCCAAATCGATCTTCAACGAGAAACTTTGCACTCTATTCCTCTCTATAATCTCCACTATGCTCCCTCTAGATTTTTTGTCAAGCTGTATAATAATAATCTTCTGTTCAATCCTCAGTTCTGAGGATAGCTCCCGATACACCCTCATTGCAATAATTTCTAGATAAAAGAGTATTGTTTCAGTCCTCGTCCCTTCTCACTTTCATGTTTGCTGCCTTCCTTTTTCAACCTATTTATGATTTCGTGTTTGTTTAATGTGATGTGACTAGATGTCCATAAATTTTACAACTGAGCTGTCTTTTAGTTAACTTTTGCTGGTATATATTGATGCTCTTTGTAGGTTGGTTGACATGGTCCATCAGGAATTATCTTTGGCTGATCAATATTCGAGGTTGAAGGTAAATCTTTCTCAAGCTTGATGGAACATGATGTACCTTGGGCTGTTGTTTTCCTTGAATTGTTCCCATTACTTAATTATTGCTTTATTTTGATCTATGTTTCCATCTCTTAAATTCCTTGCTCTTGTTCAGCTCTTCTTTTCAGTAGAAAGGGCATTAAGGAAATGCCACTCCTATACAAAAAAAGATACAAAAGATAACATAAGAAAAGCTCTATACACTTCTATGAGTGTCAAAAAGCTCTAAAAATTTGAAGAATTGGTCAAGAGTGTGATTAATAATTCCTGACCATCAACTATACAAAAAGCTAACAAAAATACATTTGATCGTATGCAAAGGAACCTTTATTCCTTAGAAATCTGCATGTGACATGACATGGACATGTCAACATCACAAATTTCAAAAAAATGCATGATATGACATGTGGGGAACATGCAAAATATATGATTTTATATCTTATATATATGAAGATTCAATATTTTAGTAATAAAAATATATAGCAACACACAAATTTATAAAGTTTAAAGGAGGATGAATTAATAATATAAATCTACATTGTTTTTCTTTTATCATTAGATCTTAAGTTGTTTTGTTCAAACTTATAATGTGTTTAATGCGTGTTTAAGTGATGGAACATGTCTCCCCAAGTGTCTGAAGTGTGTTCAAGTTTAATTTTAAAAAATATAATTGGACATGTTTGGACCTATGTCCGACATGTGTCAAAAGTGTCGGGAAGTGTTCAATATGTATTGTTTATAGACACACCACCACATGCGTCTTAGCTCTATACCATCAATAGACCTATGATTGTGTTCTCTCCACATAATCCACACAATGGCAAAGTTGTTGATATTTTGAAGAGTACTAGGGGTCTGAAGCAGGGTGATTTATTATCTCATTTTTTGTTTACTTTAGTAGTTGATGTTTTAAAGGGTTGGTTGATGGGACCAAGGCAGTGAGTTTAGGCACTTTAATGAAAGCCTTTCTGAATAAGCACAATAGGGTCACCACATTGTGTACACATGAGGTTCCACCTCTGGTTTCATATTCTCTGGGCGTATATTTCTTTTGCATCTCCTTTTTATATCTTAAATAATCTGTCTGCCAAAGACTATCAATCTGATATGCATGTTCTTAGCAATAAAGGCTAACGTGGCACTGGGTTATTGACTTCGTAACACTAGCTATTTAGTCTTGAGCCTATCAGCTAACTGCTGTTGCTAAAGTTTAGATTCCTCCAAGCATTGTGCGGAAACTCCTATCAACTCTTCCTCCTGCCGAGTCCAATACATTTCGTGTTGATTTTCGTTCAACCCATGTTCATTACCTTAATAACTTGGAGGAAGATGCTATGTACAAGCGATGGCGGAGCAATATTAATGAGGTACACTATATTTTGTTCAAATCTGTAATAGCTTTGTGACTAGATCAGGCACTTTAGATGGCTTCTGTATGCATTGGAATTTTCATTAAATGGTTTGTCTTTTATTTTGCTGCTTTTCAGATTTTGATGCCTGTCTTCCCTGGACAGCTACGTTACATTCGTAAGAACCTGTTCCATGCAGTTTTTGTTTTGGATCCTGGTTCAGCTTGCGGTCTTGAGGCAAGTATTTAATATCTGTCAACTAATCTGAGTTTGTTGTTGCATTTCATTATCACAGGAATTGCTCATTTTTTTTTTCTCCTTTGGTATTTGTAGTCCATTGACATGATTATTTCTTTGTATGAGAATAATCTTCCAATGAGATTTGGGGTGATATTGTTCTCTACGAAGTTCATCAAGATGATTGAAATGAATGATGGCGAAATCCCAGCAGCTCCCATGAGTAATGATGATGTATCCAGTCTGGTAATGCTTCTCTCTATCTTATTCAATGCCTGTGATAATGTCTTCTAACTAAAAGTACAATGAGCGTATTTACAAGTCAATTGGGTTTAAGGACAATATTACCTTAGATAACATCTAACCCTTGATCCGATGCCTGTTCTTGAACCACACTGATGCGACTTTGCTAGATTAGAGGAAGTATTTTGTATCATTCTCGATAGTGTTGCATTGTGCCTTACTGGAGCAAGGAATAAGAATTGTTGTCAAATTTTTTATGAATTTCAATGATGATGAGCATTTCTGTTCTATTATCTAGGCTTTAATTTTAAGGGATTCTTCTACCTTATTTTGCAAACCGGTAATGCCGGAGGTGACTGATATCACATGCCGTTGTACATATTTGTAAACAAGAGGTTGCTACTAGTCCTCCAGATATTTAATTGGGCTTAGCTGCCACCTGACCGCCCACCCATCCTGAAATTTATTGGTGGAGCCTAATTTGAACTTGGTCATAGTGGCCTGAACTTGAAGTTTGGCTGATCTTTTCCCAATATGAAATGAATCTTTTAATTATTTTTTATGTTATATTTGTGTTTTTCAATTGTATTGTAGAAAAGCACAATCATAGAAAGAGGCGAGATAGGGATAAGGTATTTGCGTGTCCTGAGAGTGTCCAAAGAGTGTCGGTGTCCGACACGTACCCGACACGGATACGTCACCTTCCTAGAAGTGTCCGTGCTTCTTAGGATAAGGTATTTGAACTGCAGTCAGTTAAGTTAGAACTAAGCTTTAGCAGACTTTTTATTTATGCTGAGTAATGTTTCAGGTGTAGGTTGGCCTAACTGACAGTCCTAGAAGTAAATTCTAAGGACTTTTTAAAACGTGTCAGTAGATCTGTTATTTGGTATCCATTATTTATTTATTTAAAAGTTTTGTTGCAACACCTCATGATCTATCTTACAAACGAAATCATTGTAAGCAGCTTTTGTGCTTTGTGTTTTGTCCACTTATTCCATAAATTTATTGTGATGCTAATGAAAATTGTTATCATGACTGTTTTGCAGATCATACGTCTTTTTATTTATATTAAGGAACATCACGGGATTCACATGGCTTTCCAGTTTTTGAGCAGTGTATGACTTTGGAATCTATATTATTCTTATTTGCATATTCTGGGATGTAAAAGAATTCATTTCTTAGTTTTGTTTCTTTCTCAACATTTTGTTGTTTTGCCGGTTCATGTTTTCTCTTATTTTCTGAAAATACTGAAACAAAATATAAAGACCACCTAAGAAGCATGGACACGGACACGTGACACGACACGGATACGACACGGACACGCCGACACGCTAATTTTCAAAAAATGCAGGACACGACACGCGGGGGACACGCATGAAATATATAATTTTATATATTTATTATATGTTATATATATGAATATATCATTCAAAGATAATAAAAATATTAAATATGACAATAATTCTTATGAATTTATATGATTTTTGTTTTATTATTGTATCTTAAGTTGTTTTGTTCAAACTTATAATTGGTTTCACATGTGTCTAATTGATAGACACGTGTGTTTAAGAGATACACATGTATTCTCCAAGTGTCCAAAGAGTGTCCGGGTCTTTAAAAAATAGGACACGTTTTAAAGAGTGTCGGACACGTGTCGGGAAAGTGTCCAAAGAGTGTCGGTGTCCGACACGGATACGACACGGATACGTTACCTTCTTAGAAGTGTCCGTGCTTCTTAGAAGACCACAAATCTTTGGACAAGTAAAGAAGTTCATGAATCATGAATATAAAAACTTTATGGAGACTCTTTCTTAGGATCAAAGGCCAAGAAACAAAAGTGAGTGGTAAAACACATTCTTGATATCACCTTTACTGTTGCAGTTCCTGTCTCATGCTAATTTTGCAATTGCTATTTACCTCCATCTCATGTTTTTATGCACTGTCCAAACTTCAAATTGTTTGTTAAAAAGGCAGACTTAGCCTGGTATTTCAAGTAGATTGGTTATCTTTTGGGTATCCATGTTTCAAAGGGCATGCTTGAATATGTGATTAAAGAAATAAGAAAAACTACAAATTCATCAGCTAATATATTCTCAAAAAATCACAAAAAATAAAATGATACGATTTTATTGAGTTACTTACTGTTACCAGGTTCTGGTACTGGTAATTTGAGGAAACTCAACTCACTAACGCCTTGTCGCAAAGGTTTTGGTACTTCTGTTCTATTTAGATAGAAATGTCACCAATGTTTAATGAGAAAGTTAGGAGATTCTTTAATGGGTCTGGGTGTGTAATCCTGTGCACACTTCTGGATGTGTGTGAAACCAATTAATTGGCAATTTCTAAAGCATTTTGTTTTTACATGTCTTGTGAGTGTGTCATGTGTCTCAGGGTAGCATCATTAAATTCATCTCAAAATTGCTCTAGATTGAGTTCCATTTTACTTGTTATATGGCAGATAAATAAATTACGGATCGAGTCAGCAGATCCTACAGAAGATGCTCCTGAAATGCATCATGTGGAAGGGGCATTTGTTGAAACATTATTGTAAGTTTTTTTTTTTTTTTTTTAAAAAAAAAATTTGAACTTAAAATTATTGCAAGTCTGAAAGGTATTTTACAGTTGAGTTCATTGTTATGTGTACATAATGTTTCTGATCATTCTGCATGCCTATTTAAGAGTTGATTATTGTATCATCGTCTTATTATGTCCAATTGAGGTTGATGTATTTGTTCTCAATTTCTTTTGGTTGATTGTTCCTTTTAGTAGTCTACCACTCAAATGAACTTATATTCTGTAGACCAAAGGCTAAATCTCCACCTCAAGATGCTTTACTAAAACTGGAAAAAGAGCAAACTTTCACTGAACTATCTCAAGAGAGCTCCATGTTTGTTTTTAAGCTGGGTTTAGTTAAGCTCCAATGCTGCCTTTTGATGAATGGGCTTGTTGTTGATGCTAATGAGGTACTTGCTCGAATCTCTTGTTGCTTCTTCTTCCTCCATAATAATATATTCTTTTATTTTCTTAGCTTTTGTCTTTGACTGTGGTAAGATTTCATTTAAATTTTGTTTGTTTTTTATAGATTTCTGTCAGTATGTCATATATGCTCTTACAAGAGATATGGGTTCTTAAGTTGGATCCTTCATGATCTCCCATGACCATTAGCACAAGAATGACATATTTAGTTTAGAAGGCAAAGTTGATTATTCTTCTTTGTAACTTTACATATGATTGGCTACTTTTCTTCTCTTTTACTTTTGATCCCTGGTTTTGTAACTCTCTTCCAGGTAAATCAACCCTTTAGCCTTTTTTTTTTTTTTTTTGATATTGCGTCATCCTTGTGAACTCGACAAATGTAAATTGTGAGCCTTCAAAGAATCAAAGTTAACATTTGGTACTCTTCATTGACACTATACTTTCTCTTTATTTACTATCATCAGGATGCTCTTACAAATGCCATGAATGATGAGCTTCCCAGAATACAGGAACAAGTTTACTACGGCCATATAAATTCTCACACTGATGTACTGGACAAATTTCTGTCAGAAAGTGGGGTTCCGCGTTATAACCCAAAGGTACTGCATTTAGTTAGATTTCTTGGGAATGTCTGATCTGTTTTACTTATTTATGTTTTTTTGGTGTAGATGTATGCTAATGTTATGTCAAGCTCATTGCTTAAATAGTCAACTTTTCATGCTATTGCGCTTTTGTAGATTATTGCAGATGGCAAGGTGAAGCCGAAATTTTTATCTCTGTCTACAGCAATTCTTGGAAATGATTTTGGGCTAAATGATGTCAGTTACTTGCACTCTCCTGAAAGTAAGCTGAGCTAAAGCCCTCAGCATCCCATGCTCAATTTTGTGTACTTTTTGAATTTGACATGTGATTTCTTGGCCCAATTTCTTCCAGCTGTAGATGAATTGAAGCCTGTGACCCATCTTCTTGCCATTGATATCACATCAAAAAAAGGGATTAAATTGCTTCGTGAAGGAATACGGTACCTGGTAATAAGTTTACAACCAAATGCCAAATCTCCATTTGAAATTCATGAGTCACATTGCTTTTCATAATGATTGGCATTTCTTTTGCTACTAATCTCAACATCCGTAATGTTTTTATTGTGTTGTTATTTATTAGTGATTATAATGATGATGACAACAATGTTGTTGAAAGCTTTCACTGTGTCACAGATAGAAGGTTCTAAAAACTCTCGCTTAGGCATGCTATTTAATGCTAATCCAGGTGCGAGTTTTCCTAGTCTCCTTTTTGTAAAGGCTTCTGAAGTCGCTGCATCGTCATATAGGTATTTTAATCCAAAGCTGTTTCTATATTCCTTATGGCATCTGAATATGGAAATATTTGCCCCCCCTAATATTTCCTGTAACTCAATGCTTGCTTTTGTGCAGTCATAAGGCAAAGGTGCTGGATTTTTTGGATCAACTATGTGCATTTTATGAGCCGGAATACGTGCATGCATCCTCTGTAGTTGCTGAAAGCAATCAAGCATTTATCGATAAGGTCTGTGATCTGGCTGATGCAAATGCGTTATCATCTAAGAGGTTGAGAACGGCTCTCTCCGAATTTTCAGTTGATGAGTTGAAAGGTCGTTTGAATAAGGTACAAAATTAACTGTTCCTTTGAGCTTCTGGACATTTACATTCAAATTTTTATTGTGCAATTTTTCCTTGATAGATATTGATCTTGGATTCTTGATTAACCAATAGCAGTGACTTTGTAGGCCTCTGCTATCTTTCATTTTATTTCACGTGTTTTCCTAGATCATTTGCAATCTCAATGTTACTGTCCTGTGAATAATGCAGTCATAATGGTTTGCAGGTGGGACAATTTCTATACAGGCAACTTGGCCTTGAATCTGGTGATAATGCAGTCATTACTAATGGAAGGGTGAGCTTTATATGGGCCATTTTTGCTTAATTGAAATTAACTTAGATCTATTTATTTAGGATCATTGAAATCAAATCAGCTCCAACAACAAACCCCCCCTCCACCTCAAGATGCTTTACTAAAACTGGAAAAAGAGCAAACTTTCACTGAACTATCTCAAGAGAGCTCCATGTTTGTTTTTAAGCTGGGTTTAGTTAAGCTCCAATGTGAACGGTTCTTTTAGACAAGTTTATACTTCATTATCTTTCGGAGAATATCGGAGAATATTCTAGACTTCTATGTCTTTACATTATGTTTGGCATATGATAGGTGATCCACCTTGATGGCAGTACATTTTTGAGCCATGATCTACACCTTTTAGAATCTGTGGAGTTTAAGCACAGGATAAAACACATTGTGGAAGTTATTGAAGAAGTGAAGTGGGAGGACATAGATCCCGACATGCTAACAAGGTTTGTTGGTTTTGGCCCTTTTGTTTGTTTCCTATTTCTTCTCTCTCTCTCTCTCTCTCTCTAAAAATGGTTTTCTTTGGGTAATTGCATCTTGCAGCAAATTCATCAGTGATATAATTATGTTTGTCTCATCTTCAATTGCTACGCGGGATCGAAGTTCTGAAAGTGCTCGTTTTGAGGTTTTGAATGCGAAATACAGGTACATAAATTTGATATTAGATTCCGAATAACATTCAATGGGACAAAAACACGTGGTACTATGTGAGAAAATCATATATAACCTGCGTGTCAAATTTAGATTGCTGAGATGGTGATTGTCAAGTTTATTTTCATAATCAACTTGTGCAACACGGTTTATATGTTTATTTCAAACATTGAATGTGATATAATGATTAAGCCAAGGACCATACAAACTAAATTTTGCTCAACATCCTAGACAAGCCAAAAATCAGAAAAATTGCATCATAGACTTGTTGATGACATCACATCTATTATAATTTTTTACTTCAATGAAATATGGAAGGCTAATAATTTGGACAATAAGTCAAAACATAGAGAAGTCGCATAAAAGAAGGCTAATCATTAGATATACCACTTTGTCACTTGTTGATGTTTAGTTGTTTAGTGCTTAATTTCAATTTCATGAAATTGATTTTTTGTTTTTGGTTGTGTGCAGTGCAGTTGTTTTGAACAACAAAAATAGTAGTGTTCATATTGATGCTGTCATTGATCCTTTGAGTGCCACTGGTCAAAAGTTGTCTTCACTTCTCAGAGTTCTGTGGAAATCCGTTCAGCCAAGTATGAGGCTTGTACTTAATCCACTGGTGAGTTTGTTTTCCTTAGAATATATTCATAACTATGAGAAACCTTGTCTACTTCTTGCGCTATATGCTCATTCTGAAACTAGCAGAATATATTATTTGAGTTTTTGTTACGTTGACAGAATGTGGTTGAAACTTCAAATATTTATGTGATCAGGTAGAGCTTCTGTGCTTGTTGAGGTTCAGCTTCATATTTGCATTGATACTAGTTCATTATTAATATTTATATCTATATAATGTAATCAGAATCTTATGATTCCCTATATGATTCTTGATTTGACTACTATATAAAACATACTAGTTTTTGAATGTTGTCCTATGCGGCATAATTGAAGGTTAAGATTGAATAAATCTAACAAATATAAAAAATGTTCTATGTGGCATAGTTGAGGGTTAAGATTAAATAAATCTAATGGTTCGTGATTGTTGGGAGATGGGAATTCTTACAAAAAGGAAGTAAGAAGATAACTGCAAAATTATGTCCAAAATCTTGACGAAGAGAAAAGGGAAGAGTGACACCCCTTTAGATGGTTAATATAAGGGAAAATTACTATTCAGGTGTATTGTTCAAAAATAATTACATATATATGAAAAAGTTTGACTTTAATAATCAAAATTCATAAACTTTACCATTAATTTGAATTTTTTTTTTCAACCTTTACACTGACATGTTATTTCCCCTTAATATAATTACCTTTGTTAATCTTGGAGAACATATAAATAACAATACACATCTATATCTGATTCTTACTGAACTATATTCCAGGTATAACTATGCTAATCGCGAGGTTACTGGTACAGCAATATTTGTGAAAATTGATTTTTGTGAGAATCTATTTGTTGGCTACAGTAATTGATTTGAATTGCTTGAGTTAGATTAGAAATTAAAAGTTACTGACTAAAAAAATAAAAATCTCAGCACTTTCTCAGTCCTTAATATCATTAATTGTAGGCCCAGGGCCAGGTCCCACTATTTTGGTAATATTAAAATTTCATTGGTTTTTATTGAATTTACAGTGATCTTTATGTTCTAGTATTCTTAGCACATTCTCATTATTAGCTGTATTCTTCTTTCCATATTTTCTTCTACACTATAGCTCTTAGGTGCTCACGTCTTTCCATAAACAGTTTGTGTCAGATGTCTCATGAAGGGCTGCTTTAGGAGATGTTTGGGAATTAGTTTTTTTTAGTGATTTTTTTGACTTTTTACGAAAAGATGTGCAAAAAATAGAGAGAATGAATGATAACTTGTAGTGACTTTATGACTTTTTGGCTACAAATCAAAGTTCCCAAACAAGGCCTTAGACTAAAACTTTTTACTTATTTTTTATTTATTTAATGTGTTTCAAGGAGCTAATTTGTTGTTTGGTTTCCTGGCAGAGTTCCATGGTTGACCTTCCCCTGAAGAATTACTACAGATACGTAGTACCAACAGTGGTACCTCTAATACATCTAGTTCTTGTCAAATTTTTTATTTGAGTTCCTCCTATACTGGATGTCTTAATTTTTCCATGATATTGCAGGATGACTTTAGCAGTACTGATTATACGGTGTATGGCCCCAAAGCCTTTTTTGCCAATATGCCATTATCCAAAACCCTTACCATGAATCTTGATGTTCCCGAGCCATGGCTAGTTGAGCCTGTTATTGCTGTGTACGTCTCTCTAACCATTTATTATTATAATTTTTTTTTTTTTTTTTTTTTTTTTTTTTTTTTTTTTTGAGGCGGTAGCCTGGGGAAGGGATGAATCTTGTGTGTGGCAAGATTTGAACCCTTGACCTCGTAGTGGAGTGAAGGGGTTCTATTCTACCAAATATTTTAGGTCTTATTTTAGCATAGCATTTTTGTTTTATGAAATATTTTAGAACATCACATTTCAGTTTTAACAGCAGTTTATGCATCTTTCTACGTTGATTGTTTATTTTTATTCATCGTTTGTACTGGTTTTAAATGTTTCAGCCATGATCTGGATAATATATTGCTTGAGAACCTTGGTGACCTAAGGACCTTGCAAGCAGTGTTTGAACTTGAAGCTCTTGTTCTTACTGGTAAATTGATAATCCTTCTGGAACAGTAGTGTTTTTTGGTGCTTGCATATAACTTTTACAGGAATGAATGGTCTTCATTACCCGGTAAATTAGGCAATAATATTAATTGATGAACAATCATAACCAGGACACTGTTCAGAGAAAGACCATGATCCTCCTCAAGGTCTTCAGCTGATTCTCGGAACTCTGAGTACACCTCACTTGGTTGATACCATTGTGATGGCCAATTTGGGTTATTGGCAAATGAAAGTTTCTCCCGGGGTTTGGTACCTGCAGCTTGCTCCGGGTAGAAGTTCTGAGCTCTATGTTTTGAAAGATGGTGACGGAAGTCAGGGCATGACTTCTTCGAAACGTATCACTATAAATGATTTGCGGGGTAAATTAGTTCATCTGGAAGTGGTAAAGAAAAAGGGAAAGGAGCGTGAGAAATTGCTGGTTTCTTCCGATGATGATAGCCATTCACAAGGGAAGAAAAAAGTGAGCACTTATCATTAGTGAATTGGGATACTAGATGATTTCCAAGATGTTAGAACTTGCATAAACATCTTCTTTGATACTTCTACAGGGAAATCAGAAAGGTTGGAATTCTAATATTTTGAAATGGGCTTCTGGTTTTATTGGTGGCAGTGAAGATTCAAAGAAGAGTGAAAGCACTTCAGTGGTGATTTTCTGTTCTCTTTCTCTCACTCTCTCTCTCTCTCTCTCGACGTAAATGCGTGTATCGGGCACTTTAGGCAAATGAATTTATTGGCTTTTAACCGGACAAGGCTAATATATTTTTCCTGTAGGAACATGGAAATAGTGTGCGACGTGGGAAAAGAATTAATATATTTTCTATAGCTTCTGGACACTTGTAAGTTTTTTTTTTTTTTTTTCCTTCTCTTTTTTCAGTTTTTTTTTTTTTTTTTCTCGCAGTCCTTTCTTTTTTCATTAGTCTTGTCTCAAGTTTTATTAGTGAGTGATGTACCATTTTTTTAAATATTTTTTGGTCATTTTTACGTTTCCACCAAGTTTAATTAAAAAAAACATAGTTGGTAGAGAATGAATTTAGTTGTTAGCATGATAGTGTTGTTGGATAACTGTATAGCTGCACATTTTACATTGCTTTCCTTTCTCGGCAGATATGAACGGTTTCTGAAAATCATGATCCTGAGTGTTCTGAAGAACACCAATCGACCAGTGAAGTTCTGGTTCATAAAGAACTATCTTTCTCCTCAATTCAAGGTTTTATTATTTCTTACCCTACTTCTATCAACGTTTTGAACATTTACATTGGACTAACGAAATGATCTTGGATAAAATCAAGTGGACAAGAATGATTCATGTAACCGAAACCATTTGATGGGACTTAAGACTTGGCTTGGCTTGGTTTGGTTTAATTTATGGGCAGCTATACTTAAGACTGTCTAACTTGCAACTGATCTTTTGCTTATAACTCCTTGTACAGGATGTAATTCCACATATGGCTCGAGAATATGGTTTTGAGTACGAACTAGTTACCTACAAATGGCCTACTTGGTTGAACAAACAGAAGGAAAAACAACGAATCATCTGGGCATATAAAATCCTGTTCCTTGACGTTATTTTCCCCCTTTCTTTAGAGAAGGTGTTTTGATTTCTTAGCCCTGCATTAAATGATTGTGCTTGCCTTGTTACTTGTTCATCTACTAATGTTTGCCTACTCTCATACGTGTCTATGGTTTTAACACAACATATATGTTTGCAGGTTATATTTGTCGATGCAGATCAGGTTGTCCGGGCAGACATGGGAGAACTCTATGACATGGATATAAAAGGACGTCCTCTGGCTTATACTCCATTCTGTGACAACAATAGGGATATGGATGGCTATCGATTTTGGAGACAGGTAGATAGATATCTTTGCCAATTTTTTTTCTTCTCATTGTTCTTTCTCGGTTCAATTCAAGATTTCCTTTAGAAGCACAATGCAGACTATGGGTGTGCATGGGTCGGTTTGGGTTGGTTTTTGCTGGAAACCATCAACCAGACCACAATTGGCAGATTGAGAATTTTTCAACCCTCCGCCAACCCACCCACCTTAAAACCAGCAGATTGGTTGAACATTTTAGCAGTTTCAAACCATCGGTTTTGAGCAGGTTGGGCAGATTAGAAATACAAATGGGAAAGAATATTAGTGAACGTACAACTTTATTTTTTTTATCAATTTTAAACCAAAATTTTATTATTTATTGCAAATCCTGACCTGACACAGCCTATTAATTAGATCTATTAAAAAAATCAAATTAGGAAAAAATGTGGATGAAATTGAGGGGTGGGTGTCATCTGATCAATGGTATTAGGATTAGGAAGAGATTGTGTTAGCAAGTGTAAGGTAATTTTAGTTATACATATAGGCAGGATGGGTTAGTTTTAACCCGCAATCTAACCAAGCCACCATTTTTTAATCTTTAACCCAGCCAACCCAACCTGTTCACCTTCTCAAATCGCAAAGGTTCATGCGGTGTGGCAGATTGGCATTTCTTTTTGAGATTGGCAGTTTGTATGGTATTGATGTATTTAATGCACCACTGCGGCTTAACTTCCTATGACTTTTCTTGAATAGGGTTTCTGGAAGGACCATTTAAGAGGAAGGCCATATCATATAAGGTGGGTATCTGCTTTCATAATTCACTTTATTGCTTATGTAAGTTTTTCTTATGGAATGGCTAAAGACCTTATTTGTTATACACAACTTGCAGTGCTTTGTATGTTGTTGATTTGGTCAAATTCCGAGAAACTGCATCGGGAGATAATCTAAGAGTTTTCTATGAAAACCTTAGCAAGGATCCAAACAGTCTTTCCAATCTGGATCAGGCAAGTAAATGCTATCCTGTTTTTATTTGTCAACTGTTATAATGATAATTTTATTTTGACATACTTTTTCCCCTAGAATGATTTTGTTTCGGAATATGGGCCTTCACCACAATTATAGTTGTTTTCTTTTTCCTTTTGATTGGTTGAGTGAAACTGAAATTTTAGAATGACATCTTCTCTGAATTGATCCCATACATGCAGAAAAATTGAACTGGTTTGAAACACTTTTGTTACAGGATATACTTGTGATTTATATTATGCAACACCAAATAGAGAAGATTCATTTGTAGTAGACATCCAATCAAACCTCTGGTTGATAATTTGATTCTTCAAACTACCAAATTTTCAATTAGTTTTGGCCATTATAGCATCAGTTTATTTTATTTTATTTATTATTATGCAAATACCCTGGAAGAATTTTATTTATTATTATGCAAATATCCTGGAAGATTTTCACTATATATAGATGGATGGTACATGTAAGAAATAATGTATAGAGAAAGAGAGAGAATAAATTGTATGTATTATTATTGATTGATATAATGTTATTTATTACAATGATTCATGATTCCTATATATAGAAGAGGGTGAGTGTGTAGTAGGTAAGGAGTAGGTGAAGTGGAGGTGGTAGTGGTGTAGTGGGTTAGGTTTAGTGGAGTAGGTGAGGTGCTAGTGGTGTAGTGGGTTAGGTTTAGTGGAGTAGGTTTAAGTGGGTGAAGTAGGTGGAGAGTAAATGAATTTTAACAGTACATGATGAAGAAAGGATGTATGCAGATGACTCCAAGTAGTTAGGAGTAGGTCTTGGTGAGTTGAGTAAACTATATTTTTATGATTCACTGAGTTCATGTTGTCATTGAACCGTCAATTTAGGATTAGTTGAGGCATGAGAGAGAGAGAGAGAGAGAGATAATTATAAGGGGAGAAAAAGAAACAATGAATATAAAAATTGAATGCGACTTTCAGGGAAATAAAGAAGAATAATTATGTGCTGAATTTTTTCTTTCCAATTTAAATAAATAAATATATATATATATTTAAATTTTAATTTTTCACATTGTATATAAGGTATGCTTAATATGTTTTCGTTTAAAGAAACTGATGTAGGAAACCTAATGCAGTGTGCTAACAATATGTTCAGGATCTTCCAAACTATGCTCAGCACACAGTGCCCATCTTTTCGCTGCCTCAAGAATGGCTATGGTGCGAATCTTGGTGTGGTAACGCCACAAAATCCAAGGCAAAAACCATTGATCTCTGCAACAATCCCATGACAAAGGAGCCCAAGCTGCAGGTATTATTTTAATTTTTCAGCATCCCTCCTATATTAAGAAGCACAGATACTTCTAAGAATATGGCGTGTCGTGTTAAGACACCATGTTTAATACCAACACATGACACAACACTAGTCAGACATTTTTCAACACCTGTCAGACACACATCCAAACATGTTTAAAAATAAAAGAAAAACAAATGTAATCCTCTGGACTTTAAAAAATATGATTTTTTCATTAAAAATTCTTATATATGACGTTTAATTTTACTTATCCTTACATATGAATATGACATATAATAAATATACAAAATTATATATTTTGTGTTGTGTATTGAATTTTTTGAAAATTTTTATGTCAGCATTGATGTCAGTGCTTCTTAGCTCTTATACTAACCCGACATCACTTGCATCATGGTTACTCTTTTGCTTCTTTTTTTATTTTATGTTTATTAATTTCATTTCACTTCCTCTCGATACTCTTGAAGGGTGCTAGAAGAATTGTTTCGGAGTGGCTAGATCTCGACTCAGAAGCAAGACGCTTCACTTCAAGAATCTTAGGTGAAGATGTCGATCCCCAAGAGCAGGTCGTTTCTCCTAGTCAAACACAAAATTCAGTCAGCGACTTTGTATCTGAAGAAGACATTGAATCAAAGTCAGAGCTGTGAATATGATTCTCCACAAGCGTGAGCATAATTTGACTTGATGCAAGCATGATCACATTGCTCAAAAGAATATCACGTAATTCGAGTGAAAAACTTGCAAGAAATTATCTAACCTTATTGAAAAAGGTCTTTCCTTTTTTTTCATTCAAATTTTGCCTATAGGTAATCCCGTTGTTCGGTATTTTGTTAATTTTTAGCAGATTGAAGGGGGGAAAATGTATGAACACAATGTCGGGTTTTAGTTTGTATAACATTTCTATTAAATTATTTAGAGAAATGTAGCGTTTGGAACTGTTAATGAACAATGAAAGCATGGCCAAAATGCGAAAAAGAAAGAAATAATGTGTAATTGTTGAAATTAAAATTTGTCAATACGAAATACTATATCTCAAAATATTTATATTATTATTATTATATTTTTCACATATTTCAAAATATTTTTACCCATTTCAATATCTTTTTTTAGCACTAATAATACGCTTAAAGACTATTTTTAGCATTTTATATTCATGTTTAATACATATTATATTGCTTGTTTTATTATAATAAATTTTATTGTTGGGTTAATTACACTTTTTACTTCTTTAATTTGATTAAAATTTTATTTTAGTCTTCATAATTTTAAATCGAACAATTTAGTTCCTAATTTAATGGAATGATAATAAAATATGCTTATAATCTCTAAAGGATGTGTTTCATATTAGTCTAGTCCCAAAAGTTTTTAATTTGTCAATTTAGTTATGCAACATTGATGTGGGAGGTGAAACATACCTTTACAATATTGAGGGATGAAATTTGAAAAATTAAAATTTTAAAGATAAAAATGACAAAATGTATACTTTAGGTACTCTAGTTGAAATTTATAATTATTTTGTGAACAATTTAAACGGTTGTTTGAAATTTAATCAATTTAAATTAAATTAAAAATTTCAAAGACTATTAATAAAATTAAAATTTAAAGAACTAAAATATCATGAAAAACATACTTTAGGAAACAACAAGAGACAATGAAATATTGATCCTTCAACTTAAATTGTAGACGGTTCGCCACGTACAGGTGGTGCAAAATGAGAGGAAAATTAACCCAAGTTGGAATGGGGGAGTTCTTATAAGTTGAGAGCACTTTCCCAAACTTTACGGATATAATAAAAGGATGAGTTTATCTACAGAATATAATACAGATTTCTTGTGAGAGATTTATGTCTCATTCTATGAATGATTTTTATATGGAAAAGTTTGGATGCCAGATTTATCGATTTGGAAGAAATCTGTGTCTCATTCTGTGAATGGTTTTTATATAGGAAAGTTTGGATACCAGACTTACCCATTTAAAATTTTTTGAATGAGTGATTGTGTCATAGAGATTAATTTATATAGTATAGGGTTCATGTGAGATCCATAAAAAGTGTGATAAAGATTAATCTTTGAATAATTTCTAAATTAATAAGGATATGTTTATAATATTACTCTTTTTATATTCCTAACATTAATGATAATAAAAGGTGAAACCTCCAAATTGGAGATTTTAGATAGCGTTTGGTAGAGTTTTGTAAATGTGATTTGAGAGTATGAGTTGTATTTTGAGTTTGTGTGTTGTGGAATTATAATTTGAGCTTCCGTTTGGCAAGAAAAGCCCAGGCTTTTTTGGCTAAAATAGCCACAAAAAACAAAATAGGCTATTTTAGCCACAAAAAACAAAACATCAAATCCAACCCATAATCATTACAATCCTCTCTCACAAAAAAAGCCAAAAAGCCAAAAAGCCCTTCCCAAACCAGGCTAAAATAGCCCAGGCTAAAAAAGCCAAAAAGCCAAAAAGCCAAAAAGCCAACCCACTTCCCAAACGGAGGCTGAGTATAGAAAATTTGTTTGGTAAAGAGTTTTGAAAATAATTTTGAAAAGAGTTTTGATTTGTGTGAGGAATTGTTGATGTGACATTTGAAATTTGATATAAAAATTTATAACTCATACGACTCGAGATTATTTTAAAGCACATAAAAAAATTTAAAAATTTCAGAAAATATTTTTTTCGATTATATATCAATTGTAAAAAAATAATAATAATAAAAAAAAAATCACTATTCCGAACGACCGGCCGGACGTCCCGTTTTGAAAAAAAAATTGAAACACGCGCTCGGTTTTGACAGAACAAACAGAGCGTTTTGCAGAGCTGTAAAAAATTAATTCCACAACTCCATCCAAACACCATACTCAACTTTGGGGAATGCAAATGCTCTTGTCGATTCAAAAACCACCTTGCTTGTAGTTGTGGGAAATCATTCTACAAACAAACAATCCACCAATTTGGTTGATTGTTGCCCATAACAAATACCACTTTGGTTGGTTTAAGAAAAAAAAAATTAAGGTTGCATTTGATAGAGCTTTCTAACTATGATTTGAGTGTAAGAGTTGTATTTTAAGTTTGTGAGTTTTAGAATTATGATTTGAGTGTGGAAAATTTATTTGGTGAAAGATTTTTGAATTGAGTAGAGAATTTTTTATGTGACATATGATATTTGATACAAAAACTTATAACTCATAACCAAACATACAACTCAAAATTCTATTAAAACACAAAAAAAAATTAAAAATTTGAAAAATATTTTTTTCGAATTTATAAAAATTAACATTTGTCAATTACAAAAAAAAAAATTGCACTATTCCGGTCAACCGGCCGGACGACCTATGGGACGACTGGTTAGTCCAATTTTCTCGCCTTTGGCAGAATTTTCAAAACTGAGTGTGGAATTACATTTTGAAAACTCTAAACAAACGTCATATGCAAAACATGGGGTGAAAATATATTTAAAGAGGCTAGCCAAACACTAATTGATTTTTTTCGAGATTCTACTAGAACCCTTGGAAAAAAAAGATTAGAGATCACACGATTTTGAGATGGGATTAAGGTGCTTGTTGTGTCCTTGTTGTGAGTTTCAGTGGAACTCACTCTCATTCCACTGACATTGCTTAAATCGTTTAGTTTGTAAAATTTTAAGAGTAAGTTATTTATTTAAAAAATTAAATTAATTAGATTTGATACTCATATGATTATATCATATTTATTTTTAAAAAATGAGAAGGTATATTTTTAAAATCAAACTTGTTTTCTAGAATACTTGTGATGTGATCATATAGTTGTCAATATAATGTAATCTGGTCAATAACTATTTTTTTTTTTTTTTGATCGGCAAAGAAAAATTTCATTAATCAACATGAAATTAAAGGTACAGGAAGATGAAATGCACTAAGAGAGATTCGGAAAGTACGAAATACCCCTACCACTGCTACTCGCAACCATACAACCAACCCCTTGGCCTCACGATTTTTTTTTTTCCAAAACAAAAAAAAGTTAAGAAGGACTTAACAGAAAATAAAATACAAGATTCCCCACAAACTCAACCCACCAAAACACATAAACTGCTGCACACACCCATGCCTATGCTGCTGCACACACCTATGATGCTACACTCCCAAGGCCAACCACCCACCTGCACACAACTTGTTCATCATGCCAAGACCCACGCTGCTACACCTAATCTGCTACACTCCCAAGGCTACACAACGCCTATGCTGCTGCACTCCCAAGGCCACCACCGGAAAACTCCATAGCCAATAGCTCCATGGGCCACACCATCGGGAACTCCATAGCTCCAACAGTTCCATAGCTCCACCGGAAACTCCACAACTTAATCACCACGCCAACAGCTCCAAGACCCACGCCTATGCTACTCACTCCCAAGGCCAACCACCCACCTGAACACCGAACAACTCCAGCACCTATGCTGCTGCAACTCCCCTGCTGAACTTGACAACTTGACATTGCAACTCTAACATTTGCTGCCGAAGACACCGACTTCAGATCCACTGCCGTAAACACCGACTGCTGCAACGCCTAAGCTTCTTACTCACACCCACTGCAAATCCACACACCGACCAAACCACCTACCAACCGCCGGAAGTTCACCCCTCAAACTCTCACTCGAAGAGGAAAGCTCGAATGAACACCAGACAGATCTGGATCGGCTTCGACACCCATGTTTCCGCCCAAACAAAGCATCGATACATCTCCACCAATCTGAACCAAAGTTCACCCCTCAAGCTCTTACTCGCAAAAGAGCGTACGAATGAAGATCCTAGACGTCCCCTACCGCAGCAACACAGAACACACCTAAGTAGGAAAAATGGGGGAATCGAGTTTATTGAAGGAAAAAACTAACAAACAACGGCGGAAAGAACTTGGCCAGCTGACCACCATAGCCAAAGGCGGCAGCCGGCCGGCCCAAAAAGAGGCTTAGGTAGGAGGTTTTTAGAGAGAGAGAGAGAGGAAGACTTAACTCATAAAGTATTTTCTTGTTTTGTGATCCATTTCAAAGCCAACTGGTCAATAACTATTAATATTCAATCAATTTAATTTTTGATATAAATAATTTGTTTAGCATGTTATACAAGTGAATGGTTTGGATCTTCTTGATGAGCCCAATGTAGGAGCATAATTAGTTGCGAAATAAAATTAGGAGAAATGTTAGAGATTCGTAATTTTAAACTAGTAAATTTATCCATAATGATTATGAAAATAAAATTAAATCTTACATCATTAGGTGCATAACAATAAAAAATTAACATTAATTACATCACATTATTATGAATTAATTATAAAAATTAATGTAGTATCCAGAATCACTGAATAACCACTCCTTTAAATTGGGATTTGATTGACAACAACTTCCACCAATTTGTGCCACTAATGTGAAGATTGATTGACATTGCTTTCCTCCTGATCTCTCTATTAAATTGAATTTCATGATGTGAAAGAATAAATTGGCATGTCTTCTTTTTGAGAATGTGAAGCATTTTTGTTTACTTTATAATTTGTGAATGGATTCCATCTCTATCAAAGATCATGAGGGGCCCAAGCCCTCTTTCTTTTGAGGTTTGAAATTTGTGGATCTTGCAAGTTGCAACATGCAAACTTTGATTTGTTAAACTAATGTTATAAGCAATTTAGAGAATCAGTAGGTATATACGTGTGAGTGGGTGGACTTTCTATAATGCCCTAGCTATTAGATGCTATTTGTGTATAAAGGCTATGAATACTCTTTTATATGTTATGAGTTTTTTTATTAATTTACACCCCTTCTTTTCTTTTGCATTTTTTCCTTTTCTTTTTGGTTTATAAAAAAATAAAAATAAAAATAAAAAAAATAAACTAGAGATACTCCCAAACTAAGTTATAATATCATATTTTTGTTTACATGATATTAATAAAACTGGCACAAACTAACCAAAAAAAAAAAAAGTTTGGAAGACTAACAACTCACTTCAAAACACTAACACACTTCATCGTAGGGTAGATTTTCTACATAACTAAATTATTGCAAACAACTTAAAATTTCTAATTATCTACAACCATATCTCAATTCTTGAGCAAGAAAAAGTGTAATTTAATGTCTCAAAATAGGATGCTAGTGATACCCAACTAAAAAAAAATATATATATATATATAATTAGGAGAATCTCAACCCAAGGTTCCCCATCATTCAAATCTCTTTTGATAACCAGATCAAAATAATATTTATATATATAGCTATATTTTATACCCAAAAAGTGTCGAGAAAAAAGATTATAGGAAAACGGGTAAAGAAGAGAAAAGGTATAAAAAAAAAAAAAAAATTTAAAAAAGAAGGGTGAGGTTGTGAGATTGATCGAAGAGGAACCAAATCAAAAAAGAATGAGAAGAAGAAGAAGAATCTCAGTCAAAGTAGTCAAACTTTTACAGCCCAAGAAACATAATCTAGCATCATCAAATAAAGAGCTGCCAAATGTTTAAAGATTTTCTTCATAACCAAACACACATCCTATAAAGGCTCCTCCTTTGAAAGTGACTGCAAATTAAACTAAACAACAATCTTACGTCGCTAAAAAAAATATTTTAATAATGTTTAGAATTCGAAAGGTGTGAATTAAATTTATTTTGGGTGTAATTTATATGTATCTAAAAAAAAAAATTAGAAATCAAAATGTGTGAATTAAATTTATTTTGGGTGTAATTTATGCTATATTAAATTTAAGTTTATGTCATACATTAAGTTATGTATATAATATATATATATATTTTTTTTATTAGATTTTTTTATCACTAAATACAAAAGTAATGGGCAATGGAGCCCACATGTTGGTAAGAAAATCTAATGAAAAATCAATTTATTTTGTAAACAAGGATCAATCATGATATGCACATAAAAAGGAGAAATTATTCACCATTGTTAGAGCAATACTCCACTCCATTAACTAACAGATGCCTTTTACATTGCTCCCTAAAACTCTTAACACAAAAGCGATATGTCTTGTAGATTAGACCAATAGTTATTAATTTGAAGAACTAAATGGACTTGCTCCCTCCACGAGCATTGGATAATTTTTCTGTAAAAAATGAGAGGATTCTCTCAAGTCTACTAGAGGGCGTTGTTGGGGGAGCCAGGATCCTCTAGAGTGTTTTTTTCCTAAAGTTTCCTAAAGTGCTACAGTGTATGGTTGAGATTTATTGGCAAGTCACATCAATTTTTTTGATGTGACTTGCCAATAAATCTCAACCACACAATATAGCACTCTAGGAAACTTTAGGAAAATTTCACTCTAGAGGATCCTTGGTGGTTGTTGGGGTCCCTCTCTGACAATTTAACAGTTTATTTTTTTTTGTAAAGTTCTATGCGTAGATTATTTATGAAAAAAATCAGATTGAATTGATATTAGTTGTCACACAATTTCATTATGTTTTGTTTTAAAAATAAATTATTTGTTTTTTAAAAATAAATATGATAAAATCATATAGTTATAAATATCAAATCAATTTTTATTTTTATTTGTTTCCAATGCCGTACATATATAATCTAACAAAATAAACACTTCAGCATATCAAAATAAAATATGTGATCAGCCTTCCAAACCCAAACAACAATCTCTGCTGGGGTTGAAGAATCTATCCCAAAAAAAGTAATTCAAAACCATGACAAAAAGCAAATATTATATAGAATTTATCTTTTTATCTGATACATAGCATTTCAATGAACGAAAAGCACAAAGTAGTAAAAGAATTGTTGGCAGAATCCATGAAGTTCTCGTGTAAGTAGATTTCTAATATTCCTTCTTTTGTCCTTGATTTTGCCTTTTTTTTAATTAAAAATTTGAGCCAAATTACCTCTTTCTCTCTTTCCACTTTTATTTTCTTCTTCTACATTTCTGCCCATTAAAAAAAATGACAGATTCCCAATCATCCCATCCACTCAATAGGAAACACCCATAATTGCACGCAACAAATCAATCCTTTTCATCATATATATAGCAACCACCTGATCTCTCACTCAACCCATTCACATCACATTCACTCACTCATTTCCTCTCTTCCTCTCTTCTTCTTCTTCTTCTTCCACATCTTTCATTTTAAAAATATCACCCACAATCTCCATCACCTTTTCTCTTTCAAACCCATAATGAACCACTCTTCTTCCTCCTCCTCCACCACCACCACCACCGCTGTCGTCGCCGCCACCTCTTCTGTCAATGGCTTCTACAACTTCCTCACCCGAGGCCTCGACGACCTTGACTCCTCCTTCTCCTCCTACCACTTCATGTCAATCCCTTTCCTCCAACGTGTCCTGTCCTCGCTCCGTTCCTTTCATTTCCAGTTAACTATTTTAGTCCAGAGGCTTCGCTTGCCAGTGGGAGAGAAATGGCTCGATGAGTACATGGACGAGAGCTCGAGGCTCTGGGAAGCCTGTCATGTCCTCAAAGCAGCCATATCAAATATGGAAAGTTTTTACTCTGCTGGTTCTAATATGGCTTCTTCCATTGATGATCACCATATTTTAAGTCCACAGCTTTCCCGCCAGGTACCGAATTCAACCCAACAAAGTCTTATCTCAAGTGTATTGATTACTTTCTCCATATAAAAATAAAGATACGAGATTCTCTGTACTTAAATTTTTTTATTTATTGATAGATATAGATAAGGGCTACGGCCTCTAAACTTTAAGAAAATCTCGTTACATCCCACAGTAAAAATCTTAGTATTTATCAAAGGAATTAGTATTTTAGCCCTTCAAAATCTATGTAATTTTACTTTCCATTCAAAATCTAAATAAATTTATTTGGTTTCATTTTTAAAATTATTTTGGGTCCGCTACTATCTTTGTCACTCGATCTCTGCATTCCTATTTGCACGATGTGGTGAGAACTAAGACAAGAAAATCTTGAAATATAACATAGGGGAATTATTGCATTGGGAGTCTAGTCAAAGACATTTACGTACAAAATATAGAAAGTAGTACATATTATGGCTTAGAAAAGTGTCATTCTTCAAAAAAAAATTTGTATATTTTGTATATTTTTTAGGGGAAATTACCATTTAGAGGGGATTTTCAAAAATTATTATATATTAGTGAAATTTTTTGTGATTTTAATTATTAATATTTACCATTTTTTGTAACTAATTTTTCTGATAACTACCACTAGTGTGTAATTTCCCCTATTATATATATATATATATATTTTTTATCTTTGTATATCATTCTCTGATGGCTGATTAATTTTATGTACTACAATGAGTTGGTATTTGATAAGGCTAGTCTAAAACTCTTTGTACAGGTAATTCGTTTGATCAATGGTTGCCAGAGGGAAGTAGTTGGATTAGAAGAAGAGAACAGAACCTTAATGGAGACAAGAATTCAACCATTGTCACTAAGGTTTGATGAGAATGTCTCAATAGAATCCAAGTTCAATGCTTTCAATGGCTTTAGAGGTGTCCTCTATGCAATGAGGAATGTAAGCTCATTGCTTTTGATGATCTTGTTCAATGGCCTCGTCTATTTTTGGCCTCAAACAAGCTTCTTCCAAGGAGGCTATGAAGGACACATGGTGTTTGGCTCAGCTTTCATGGTCTCGACAGCAAGGTTGCACCGGAAAGTGGTGGCTGAAACAAACCAGGCTGGCGGGCAGGCGGGGATTCTTATTTATGAGTTCAGAAGAGCGCGAGCCGCCATGGAAGAGCTGAAAGAGGAGTTGGAGAGAGTTGTTGGGTATGGAATAGAAGTTGATGTTTATGACAAGGTTGAGGAGTTGAAGACTTGCTTTGGGGGATTGAAGTGTGGTGTTGAGAGTATAGTCATGCAGCTTGATGACTTCTTTGATGAAATAGTAGAAGGGAGGAAGAAACTTTTGGACATGTGCACTCAAAGGTAGAAGAGACAGATAGAGAGTTTTCAAACTTTGTGCAGCCATAGGTGGAGAGAGAAAAGTGCAATGTAAGAAGTCACTGTCCTGTGTAGAATCGTTTAAAAAAGAGAATCACAAAACAGAACAGAGACGATGGGCGAGTCTTGCCTATATGTGGAGCCTACCCTTTATCTATGTTGTGTGATTACTTTTGAAAAGATTCTGTACAAGTAGATTATTTTCTCGTTGATAGGTTGTAGTTAGGGCTTTAGTTTTACCCATGTCTATTTTGCTCTTTTATGTGTTTGTTCTTGCTCTTGAGGGCATTTCGTTTTGCAGCTCAAAATTGGATTTGAAGCCCTAAAGAGAGATTTTCCAGGAAACCCAAGAAGGAAATTTCTCAAGGAAAGAGGATGTGATTCGTTCCTCTCAATAAAGCATGATTAATATCTTTACCGTATATCTGAAGAGAAGGAACCAGAAGAGTATATAATAGACAAAGGTAGCTTCAATAGAAAGCAAAAACTTTCCCACCCACCATACAGGTTCTTCTTGTATGCACATGAAAAAGAAAGAAATTGATCCATCTTGTTTGATATGTAAACATGTATGTGTGAGATTGATGAGAATTCTTTTATTTTATTCTGTTGAAGATGATTTTAATGAACTGCCTATGAAGTTTCCAATTTTCAAAAACGTGAAAACTAGGTCTCTTCTTTTTGAAAAATGCTGAGCAGCATGAACAATGTTTTATGAAAATAATCATGAACGAATCTCCATCTTTGTATTACATTTTCTATGATCATCATGAAATATTTTTCATGATACCTAGCATGTGTGTGTGTTCGTGTATGTTAAAACTTTGGATCGGATTTAGACCCAAAACAGATGCCCTTGGGTGGTTTGACCCAATAGTTATAATATCCTTCTCTATTTGATAGTGTTGTAGGATCATTATAACAGACTACATTGTTAGTAAAAAGTACATACAAATCATTCATAATATGGAAAATCAATAACCGAGTATATTTTTCTTGAACTAATTCTGCATTATTTTGATTTCCCCTACAATATAAGATTGAAAACTTGGTAAATTAAACAAAATATACATGGAAAACCCTCTATGTTTAATTTTCATAAATTTGACCAAAGTTCAGCAATTAATTTGGACTATAGCATTAAAGTTGAGTCAAACTATGGTATGTCCATTCCTTAAAGCTGATCCCAAATATGCAGAGAGAAACTTCAAAGGCAACAAATTCCTGTTATATTTTTTTTTTTTTTGCAATTTTGCAACAAACAATCTAACACCATCATTTTAATTTGGTGCACGTCACTGCAGGGTGTGTTAGATGGGTTCAAAAAAAAAAAAAAATTTATAAACACAAATAAAAATTGCAAACGAAGTGCTTTCAACTCTTATAGTAGATCAGTGTAGTCGAAGATCCTTAAAATTATTGGATAAATTATACTCACCTCCTTTCAAATTTGAATAAAGTACAATTTGCCTCACATTTTTAACATAATTACACCGACTATCCTTAAGATTTTAATTAACACAAAACTTGGTCTATCTTTCATTAATAATTTGTTAGTCATATTAATTGAAAAATTATATTGTCATTTCATTCATATTTAAAAAAAATATATATTTACATTTATTTATTCTTTTGTCTACTCGTCATTTGTATTAATTTTAATCTTATTAAAATAAAAAATTAATATAATTATATTAAATATATGAGATTTATTATATATATTTTTTAAATACTAAGAGAAGTGAGTGTAATATACATTTTTTATTTGTAAAACATAAGACTCTTACAAAAGTAGCATCAACATACAAAGGTTAGGAAGACAAAAGCAACATAGGTTAGACATAGCAAGCTTCCAAATGGAGGTTTCATTTTCCCACAGAAACAAAAGATGCTTCTCATGTCAATTGTCAATTGAAAAAAGGAAATGATCATAGCAAAACAAAAGGGAAATTATGTTCCCTTCCCACATGACAATTTCAAAGCAAATATGAGATAGTGACGCAATTTTACAATAATGAATGAATAGGTAAAAAAATTAGAGAAACTTTTTTTTCTTTTTGGTGATCAATATGTTTGTTTGTGGGGTCATCTTTACAGACACAAGTAACTTTTTGTCTAACCCAACCAACTTAAGTTGTCTAATTCACATTAATCTGAAGTTGTCTAAATCATGTAAAATTGAAGAAATTTTAGGCTTATTCAGATCAAGCATTAAAGTTTGACATTTACCCAACATAAACAAGAAAAAAAGTAAGGGTAAATGATATTTTGAACCCTTATGTCATAATCTCAAACAAAGAAAATCTAAGCTTTGTTTAGAATTGAGAATAAGATTCAGGATTTTGAGTTCAAATCATCTCAAGGGCCACTAAAGGTTTACTCGGTCGTTAATGTTAGGACACTGAAATTAGTTAAGGTGCTCGCAAGCTGAATACAAAATGTATAGAAGGGTTGTGTGGATTTTTATTTAATATTAGGTCTTATAAATAAATACCAATTACACTCAATTACCCAAGAGGGCACCTATCGATTAAGCCTAAATATTTTTGTAATCCAAAAGGTCAAAGATGATATTTTTGTAATCTATATATTTTTTTTCCTCAAAAAAAAAAAAAAAATTGCCAAAAGTCTTCTAAAAAGAAAATCTAAGCTTTGTTTGGAATTGAGAATAAGATTCAGGATTTTGAGTTCAAATCATCTCAAGGGCCACTAAAAGTTTACTCGGTCGTTAATGTTAGGACACTGAAATTAGTTAAGGTGCTCGCAAGCTGAATACAAAATGTATAGAAGGGTTGTGTGGATTTTTATTTAATATTAGGTCTTATAAATAAATACCGATTACACTCAATTACCCAAAAGGGCACCTATCGATTAAGCCTAAATATTTTTGTAATACAAAAAGTCAAAGATGATATTTTTGTAATCTATATTTTTTTTTTCCTCAAAAAAAAAAAAAAAAAGAAAAAAAAAAGAAAAGAAAAGAGAGAAAAAAAAACGATACTTCCATAAATTATAGCCCCCATGGTCAGCCCTTTAACTGTTGAGGAAATCTAAGCACTCAAAAATTATCCAAAATTTTAAATTTACAGTATATGTTTAAAGTTGTTACTGTGAGACAACATTATGAATGAATCTTGATTTTTAAATACAAGCAATATTTTAGTTTATTCTCTCTAAGTTTGTAGAACTGTTCTTAACGATTGGTCCGCCACTTAAAAAAGAAGAAAAAGATGGACATTTTTTTCTTCCTCTCTTTTTTCTTGTACCTTAAAGAAAAAAAATACAAGAGAGAGGGAAAAAAAGGATAAAGAAAAAGAAAGTGACTTGGGAAATCAACTTTATGAATAATGTTATATTTATGAATTAGGTCATGTTTGATTCACAAAATTAATAGTGAATAATCCTATTAAATTAGTGTGATATTTACTATCCAATTTGATTAATAATCTCATCTCTACCCCATTACTAATAATCTTATAAATTTGTTGGATTAATTATCCATTGGATTAATAATCCTAAACCAAAATGTTAAAACAAATATAGAATAATTGAGCCTACGGATTAATAATCTCAATCACATGCTCTAATCTACCCAATCAAACATGTCATTAGTGTACTAATTGATGATGTGATATAATTTAACTTTATGAATAATGTTATATCAACCATCACTTAGTATAAGACCCACGTCAACTTACATAAAATTGTTAGTATCCATAACATTTTTTTTTGGGGGCATATAGTACCATCGCAACTTTATTGGTAGGATGGTAAATGTCGTGCATTTTCGCATGAGAGATATTCTTAATGAGTTGTGATAGTAAATGACTAATCATTCCAGTTGTGAAACAATGATGGAAAAAGTGTTGTGTGAGAGAAAGAGAGAACAGAAGGGAGATTCCTGGGTTTTCATTTTTGAAACAATTCAGAAAAGCAAATTTTTTTTTTTTCTTTTTTTCTTCTCACTTTGGAAGCATTTGTCTGATTCCAGTCATTGTTGTTTTATAATGATGATGATGATGATGATGATGATGATGCTGAATGATATCCAAAGCTTCTGAAAAGTCCTCTGCACATAATATGAGTGTTAATGAAAAGCTGGAGGGAACCAGTTTGAAGCTCTCAATCTAGCCAGAGGGCTAAATAGGTCAAATTTTAAAATAAATATGTAAACAAATAATTTATCAAATACATTCAAGGGTAACATTATAGGATATATCAATGAATAAATTTAAATACATAAAAAAAATTTACGAAATGGGATAAATATATGAGATAAATAATATGTCTTACATATAGTAGATTCTACATGTAAGACTCACATTTTATCTCTCACCCTCATTCTATAAAAAATAATGTGTTCCATATCAATTAATCGAAAAATCAATCACATAAATTGCAATAAAAGATCAAGACATATATGTCTTTTTTAGAACAAAAACCAAAAATATTATAACATGTTAAGTATTATATATCCTCCACATTTATTTATATCTGATTTAGACAATTAAACAAATCACAAGCGAACAAATCTAAATACTTGCAGCCTAGCACATAGGCTTTTAACATGGAGATCATTAACACATGCATCACCATCATCATCCAATCCAAGACAATATTTGATGATTCTTTGAACTGGCAATCCTTTGAAACCAAATATGGCATTCCACAAAGAGGACAACAGTGTATCCTCAGTATCAAGATGAAAAAAAGTGCCCAATCTTCTTCTTCTTTTTTCCTTTTTTTTTTAAACTGTTTTAATTGTCCTTTTTATTCCTTCTTTATCTGCTATTCCACAATGGAAGATGATTTTCATTCTCCCCCTGTTTTTAACCTTTCTGCATTGGGAATCAATTAGCCACATGCAGAGTTTTATCCCAAAGAATTCCTAAAGTAGAAAATTTATCTATCGATTCACAAACCCAATAGTGAAACTAAATAAAAAATCTGACCTAATATTAAATGGAATAATGTGTAGACAATTTAAACCTTTAATTTACAACGCAGTACAATCTCCAACATCTGCTACCCCCTCCCCCCCCCCCCCAAAAAAAAAAAAAAAAAAAAAAAAAAAAAAAAAAAAAAAAAAAACAGAATATATCAAACATATATTATCAACACACACACACACACCATGTACATATACATATACATGTAACACTAAAATTGATTTAAACAATATATATCAGTAGAATGATCCTCTAAATCGCAGTCAATCTGAAAATTACTTGAATGTAGTTTTTTGTTTTTGTTTTTTCTTTTCCTTTCTTTTTTTTAACCTACCCAAATTCAGCAAATACTTGTAACATGACAATTGGATAAAGGGGAAGGGAAGGGACGTACTTCCAACCATCAATCTGGAAAATATTTCAATACATATAGTGCCTGTTTGGCACAGCTTATAAGCAGCTTAACTTTGACTTAAATTAAACTGTTTTGGAGCGTTTGACAACTTAATTTAAGCCAAATGGGCCTTGTTTGGTTTGTATTTCCCAAAAATTTTTGGAAAAAATTCTCTACAAATAAGTTTTCAAAAGTAATCAAACCAAACAAATTTTTCCAAAAAAATTTCCCGAAACTTGTTTGGTTTACAAGTTTTCCAAAGAAGTCTCTCTTCCATACATATCAAATCAATCACTTTTTCCAAAACTCTCTCTCAAAATAATTTTCCAAAACATCTTTTGAAAAAAAAAAAACCAAACCAAACAACTTTTCGTACTTTTTATCTCTAAAACTCATCTCCCAAACTCAAACCAAACATACCCCATGAATTTTGAGAAGTGGCCTGGGAGCAATTACAGCTAAAGCCGAAAGTTGTATTGGAGGGGAAAGATTACTTAAATGCCCCTAATCAATTTTAATTATTACCAAAAACCTAAATATATAAACCACATCTCAACACTGTTCACAAACCAGAGAGAGACGGAGACGATTTCTGGCATGCGCAGGTGATTTCCAGCGTTGACAACCCTAACCCTAACCCTAACCACTGCCATCAATGACGTAACGATCTCAAACTAGAGCTCATCATCGCGATCTTAAACCAAAGCTCACTATCGCATCGTGATCCCAAACCAGAGCTCACCATCACGATCAATCCACGCCGTCGCGATCTAAAATCAAAGCTCACCGTTGTGTCGTGATCTCAAACCAAAGTGCTCTCTCTCTCCCACAAACTAAAGGCGGTGGCTAGGGTACAATCTACTCCGCCGCCGCCTCCCGTCACCAAAGTCATCGACGCCGCGATTGCGATCTGAAAACCTAATCACGATCGCCATTGCCTCTCTTTCTCTTCACCATTGCCCGCCTCCTCCTTTTCTCTTCGCGATCAACCTTCCATGATCTTGTTGGCTTCACGAGATAGCCTGACGGTAACGAACCAGAGCTAACTGTCGCCATTGCGATCTGTGATGTGAAACCCTAGCCACTGGTGGCGGTAGCTAAGGTTTGTAATGGAAAAAAATAATAAATTTAAAAAAATGAAATTAATAAAAATTGAAATTGAAATTAATAAATTATTAATTGTAATGAAAAAAAAATTAATAAAAACATAATCACAATTTTTTAAAAAAAAATTAAAATTGAAGGAAAAAAATGAAATACAAAATGAAATAACTTATATTAAATGAAATAAAAAATAAATATTATAACTTCTATTAAATTAATAATTGAAATTAATAAATTATTAATTGTAATGAAAAAAATTAATAAAACTAGAATCACAATTTTTAAAAAAAAAATAAAATTGAAGAAAAAAATGAAATACAAAATGAAATAACTTATATTAAATGAAATAAAAAAATGAATATTATAACTTCCATTAAATTAATAATTGAAATTAATAAATTATTAATTGTGATGAAAAAAAAATTAATAAAAACAGAATCACAATTTTTTTTTTAAAATTAAAATTGTAGAAAAAAAATGAAATACAAAATGAAATAACTTATATTAAATGAAATTAAAAAAATGAATATTATAACTTCTATTAAATTAATATAAAGAAAAATAATACGTAATAACATCACAACATTAATATAAATACATGGATATTAATTGTAATGAATAAATTAAACAAAATTAACGAAAAGAAAGAAGCAAAGGAAAAAAAAAAAAATAAGAAAATAAGGAGAAGAAAATGACAAAATTACAAATTCTATGTTTATAATGGCAAAAATGACAATTACATAGCAAAAAATTATTTTACAATTTATTTACCAAACAATACTCTGCTGCTTAAAATCCATAATCTCACAGCTGCACCAAACAGGTTACCAGCTTATGTTCACAGCTATAGGCTACTGTTAAACTCTAATCTATAATCACTTTCTCACAGCTCTACCAAACGAGTCTATATACTAAATAGTTATATTTATATAAAGTAATAATATACAAATAAAAAATTCTAACAAAATAATACAATGAGATGCCTCAATAAAGACTTTTCACTTTAAGATAAAACACTCGTGAAGATGATTTTGTACATACAAAAATGGCATTATCACATTATTTTTATAATGTTTTCTGTACAAATACAAAAAAAAAAAAAAAAAATTATGTATGAATAGAGTTTTCCATTTGTAATATAATATACAAGTAATGCACACACTATGCAAAAAGTAAAAAAAAGAAGGTACTCTGAAAATGTTCTTAAGAATCAATAGTAAGAGAATCAACACAAACATGACATTCAATAATCTGATAATCTGAGTAAAAAAAATTTAGTAAGATTTGTCAGTTTGTGTGCATTAGCCCCATATAAAACCAACCTGCTTCGAAAACACACGTTAAAGAGGGCAAGCTGAAACTTTCTGGAATGAATAAGGTCGAATAAAAACAAAAGACAAAACAAAACAAAGGACAGGCGTAAGGCTAAGGAATAGTGCACATACACATTCTTTAGTAATGAAGCCGTTTTTGGGTTTGGAACCTAAATATGAATATAAATTACCAATGATAAAAAACTTGTAGAAATTTAATGTATAAAGAGAAATAGAGAATTGTATTATTGATTGATTGATATATTGATTGATCTAATGTTATATCTATTACAATGATTCATGATTCCTATATATAGAAGAGAGTGAGTGTGTAGTAGGTAAGGAGTAGGTGAAGTGGAGGTGGTAGTGATGTAGTGGGTTAGGTTTAGTGGAGTAGGTGAGGTGGTAGTGGTGTAGTGGGTTAGGTTTAGTGGAGTAGGTTTAAGTGGGTGAAGTAGGTGGAGAGTAGGTGGATTTTAACAAAACTAAAGTTTAGTTTCTCAATTAATGGCAAGAGTTCAAGTTCTCTGTCACCTAGCAGCAACAAATGATAAAATAACAATAATAATAATAATAATAAAAACACTAAACAGGTAAAACCACAAAATTGATGTAAATTTCAAATCCACCAGCCACAGACTAATCCGAACAAAATAACAGCAAGAAAATGACCCAACTCATAGTGTAAAATGGTTGTAATGAACTAAGGCTTCCCTCTTCACAAACAAGACATGTAAGGAAAAGTCAAATAAACAAATCCATGTACATCAAATAAATGAAATAAGAATGAAGAAAAAATGATGTAGGTCATCAGACAAATTTAGCTAGTGTTAAAAAAGAAACACGACCAAGATTCACGGATTTCATGTTCCTGTACCTCATACGGATATATTTTAACTTCAAAAATTGCCTTCCACATCCATTGTAGTCAGTTAACTGACCCATTCATGGCAGCATTACCATTTTACCAAAACAACCGAACGCATTAAATATATACACTTGTACAATATCAAAACTGAATTTGAATCAGCACTCGATATGTGCAGCAGATGTCAGTCCAGAGAGCTGGAAGCCGCCCTCCTTTGTACGTCACCTCTATTTTTTTACGCATCAAACCCTGGCATTGCAAAACGAGTAGCAAAATTTTCAACTCCACTCCGAAGATCAACAATATCTTTGTTGTTCTGAAGACCACCCAGGAAAGCTTTCTGCAACTTTCCATGTTCTCTCTGGACCGTACTTGTAATCTGTGCAGCTCTGAGGAGAAAGCCAGCTATTGTTTGAAAATCATTTTCAAGACAACCTCTTGATGTCATAGCAGGAGTACCTGAGAGTATAAACATGAAAAGCTATAATAAATGCACAAACATCTCCAGGAAAGATAATGACTTGGAATTTGATATGCAATAAGACCTTCACTTACCGATCCTTACACCTCCAGGTGTGATGGTGCCATTATCATCAAATATAGCAATTTTATTGAGAGTAATGTGGCACATCTCACAGACCACCTCAAAATTCTTACCTACAAAAACACAGAAACAAAAACGGATACAAAAGGTAAAGACTTCCTCAGATAACAGAGCATTAGATTACAAAAACAACTGTTACATAACGAATTGCAGCTACCTTAGCGTTAATGCATTTAAAAATTGAATCAAACCATAAGAGAGTAACACACCACCAAAAGCGGGAAGTCGAGATGAAATTGCAGAAGTTCATCCAAGTCTAATGCTTGCTTTGGCAGAAAGGGTAGTTTATGTATTATGTGAGAAGTAAGAGGAACAGGATTGAAGGAGCTAAATTTCTGTTAGCTGGGTTACATGATCAGGTAATGTAACAAGTTTAGCGCATATTGTCATGGCCTTGGTCATTTTCAAGCTATTTGTGCGGCACTTAGACAATCACAACTCTTACTTGATGATGCTAAGTCAGCCTAACTCACAAGTTTGCAAGAAAACGCAGTAAGAAGACAAATAGAGTTTCAGAGAATGCCTTTGTATTCACTTTAAGAGAACTTGTACAACTCTTGATTGTTGAGTGGAGCAAATGAGCCACTCTCCTATTTATAGGCTCCTTTGGAGCATTCTAGAATACACAAGAAAGAGGTATGTAGAAGCTTCTCAGGAAGCCTTCTTACAAGCTACAAGAACATTCTAGAATACCTTCTAAAAATATCTATACAAATATCTACAAGTCTAGCTACATGTACAAGTGTGTATGTACTTGAATTCTCTAAAGCCTTCTAGAATTCTCTATGGTCTCACATGTGCGAGAGTTTGCTAGGAAGTTCTAGATTCTTCCATTGGCTCCTATTCTTCCAAGTTCCCATTTGGGTAGGATTTTTGCCATGGGGAATTCAGCAGAATGTGACAAGATGCTTATGAATTTTGCTTTTACTGGTATCAAGTTAAGTTTTCTATGCCTAAAAGTCACCTCCTTAGAGATGGCACCTTATAAAGCAACTTGTCACCTACTTATCATTGAGGTGGCTACTTGGAAGCTGATTGTCTTGCCACCTGCTTTCATTGAGGTTGAAACTGCTTGCGAGCACTAGTAGCTTTCTTTATGCCTATGTACTTCACCATGAAGTCACATAACAAAGGTCAAAGGATAATTAAAATTCCAGGTTTGGGTATTTTCTAGTGTTACATGAACTCCTCTATTTCCCCTATAGAACCAACGTCACCCTGATATGAAAAGGGAGGGTGTGGGATATGTGTCCGACACCCATACCCAATTTAGAAACTTAGATCATCTTTTATATTATGTGTTAAAAAAGAAGCTCACAGTTGCTAGTAAAGAAATATTTATTACCTGTTAGATAGATGGGAGAAAAAAATTTCATATTTTTCCTAAATCGTATTTAATTTCAAGTACATTTCTAAATAATTTGGATAATCATATATAAGAATATTATACAATATATACAAGTGTTCAAACATGCCCCCATACCTATACTTGACTTTTGAATACACTAGTGGTGGTATACACGTGCGTTGCACGTGGTATTTCATCTACTATAATTTTATTTATTTTTTAAATAAGAAACTTCATAAATAGACATTAGAAGTATACTTACTAATTTCATATCATCATTTGTTATAAATTTTGGTGATTTTTAGGTAATGTAATTCTGTACATCATGTTGTTTATTTGGATTTCATGTATAATTTTTTTTTTTTTTTTTCCTCTCATACGATGGTAATTCAATTAGAATTAGATAAGTACATAGCATTTTGAAACAATATTCATTATGTCTAACTTTACTATTGAAAACAGCATAAATAATACAACATAACAAACTCTTAATTTATAGCACCACACAAATCTTGTTTTATTAACTTCACACAAATGTGTAGAATTCATTTGTAAATCACTGCAAACAAACAAACAAACAAAAAAATTTGAAAATTATTGGCATCATGGAGGATGGTTTATCTTCACAAAAATGAGTCAACAAAAATCTTTCATGGTTGTTTTAGAAAGTCTTGGAGATGTGATGAAAGTACCATCCAAATTGCAAATTGCATATCTTCCCCCTTCCCCCTTCTAAATCGCTTCCTCCGGAAGGACCATCCAAACACTTTGACCATTGCAAAAAATAATTTTGTCTTCATTTGTAAATCACCATAGCAACATGAAAAAACACAACCTATAGCAAACAGTCCCTGGAAAACTCTGTTTTTAAGAAATTCAACCATGAATAGAAGAAATCTAATGACAAACAAAAGCAACCCAAATAAAACAAATCCGAATTTCAAATCCATAATTGTTAATCAAATAGGCTCACTCAAAATTAATCATCATCGTCAATCCATTACAATTGATCAAATGAAATTAATTGAGTGAAGTCCCAGTGAGAGAGAGAGAGAGCAGTAAGAGGAGAAAAACAAAGTTCAAAACAGCGAGTAGAAAAAAACGACAAAACCATTCATGAAAAAACTTAGGTTGATCCAATAATCATAATATTTTCATTTGTCATATTTGTCTATGAAAAAAAGGCGACAAACATATTTTGAAAATAGACTATTCATTTTTCTTGAGACACAATAAAATGAGAAGGTCACAATCAGCATATCAACTTAATTTTTTTTCCTCGAAAGAAAGATGTACACTATAAAACGTACGGTTCAAAACATCAAAACGGAACATGTGGTGGGCCTTACAGATCCGTCAAATCCTTTCAAGTTTATATCCGAACTTCTCAACCTTAAAATTAAGTATTATTATATGGGAAATCTCAAAATTTATTCACAATAATATTACAAGAGAGTTGGACCATAAATGATTGAGTGTGTAACAAATAAAAATTTGACAGCTATTATGTCATATTATTGTGGATTAGATATAAATAAAATCTTTTTTAAAAATCAAAAATATTTTTCTTGTATATATATATGAAGTTGCCTAACGGTTAAAAATAGTAAAGTCGTTCACAAAGTCTTATATGTGCTAGGGACTATTGCTAAGCATATATATGAAATTGCTTAACAGTTGAAAATTGCTAAGCATGGTGCCTTTTTAGAGAATGTGGCCAATAGATTTAGGGAAGGGCATTTTGGGAACCAAAAAAAGTAGGAAACAAATTAGCATGCTCACTCTTTTTAAAGTAGAGTAGATAGATATTTCAATATCCTAAGATTTAGGTTTAGAAATGTCTAATGCTTGGGCATGCACGCACACTTGATACTCATATCCAAGTCTATGTAACATAAGTGTTTTCTAGTACTCATTAGCTTGTGGAATTCGAGCCTTGCCCACTGAAAATTACAGAGAAACCAGATCTAAAATCTGAATTCTGCAATTCAATTGAATCTTTATTTTGTTCCACGATTATTTATTTATTTATTTATTTTTGTTATTGTAGTTTCTAAAGCCTCAACTCAAATTTTTGTCATTAAATTGATAGCAATGCAAATAGTCCAAAAACAGATAGTGCTGTACACTATGTTGAATGTGTTACTTCCACACACATGGATACATGCGCCACCTACACGTGCAAGAATGTATATGCATTTTTTTATTCTTTTTATTGACACTGGAGTGTCTATATCAAAACTTGACTAATCCCTAAGAGTGCACAGGCCCTCGGTAAGGAGTTTCTCGCAAGTGCACCATGGTTAATTTAAGGGTTTTCTCCTAGTTTGATGGCCCCAAGGAATTGTTAGCACCAAAGAGATTTTGATCCCTGAACCTTGCAGAGGGCACACCCCCAAGATCCAAGGCTTTCCCACTAAACCAACGCCTTGGGGTAGGGGTGCTCACGGATCAATTTTGTGCGGTTCGAATAATAGGTTGGACTCGCCCGATGGGGTGCAGGTTGGAAAAAAATGGAACCACGCCCGCCCACAATACGAGTTGCGAATTGAACAGGTGGGTTGTGCGGGCGGTTTGTGAATTAGACAATTTTTATTTTTTATTTTTTTATTTTTTGGGCTTTGGCATTGGGGCCTTCCCCACTTTCTGAAGCCACAAAAAAACAAACATAAATAATTTTTTTTGCACTTTGAATATGTATATAACAAATAAAGACCAAAAAAAAAAAAAAAACAAGACAAACAAAAAAATTTATTATTATTCAACCTAGCTTTATCACATACAGCAATGAAAACATTTTCTTTTATTAAATAAACAAAGCAATAAGTTACAAACAAAAGTCTGCAAACCCACAATACAACCAGCAAAGCAAACCATAAATAAATAAAGAAGGAAGATTCTAGATCTATCTAGGTACCTTCTTGCAATGAAACTTTTTTTTTTTTTTTTTTTTTTTTTGCAGTAGATCTTCCAGATCTAGTTTGCGATTGGGCGACGGCGACAGGGAGAAGAGAAGGGGACAACGGCAAGTAACCAACGACATGGCTGGGTTGATGTGCGAGAGGTGATGGAGCGGCAATGGAGTAGGGATTGATTTGCAAGAGACGACAGCGATAGTAGAGGAGAAAAGAGAGATGGCGACGGGGAGGAGATGAAAGAGACGGTGAGCAAGGAGTGAGAGATGGTGGTGGTGACAGCGACAAGGAGGAGAGAAGAGAGAGGTAGGCGAGATGAGAGACAGAGAGAGAGAAGGCCCAGATGACAGAAAAGAGAGAAACAGCTGGGTAAAGAGAGAAAGGAGGACCAAAAAATGAATTCAACATGTGAGGTGAGATTTTTTTTTATTTTAAACATAATTTGCGGGCGGGTTGCGGATTTGCATTGGTAGGGTCAGATCTGACCCGAACACGATTTTGTATGGAAAAATAGACCCGCATCCGCCCAATTTATGCACGCAGGTAAGGTCGCATTTGTGTGGGTAGGATCGTTTTGGGCGCGTTGTGCGGGTCAAATAAACCATTGCCCACCCCTACCTTGGGGTTAAGAATGTATATGCATATCAAGTATAGTACAGACCAAAAACACACACACACATATAAAAAAAAAAAAAAAAAAAGTGTGCATCTTTTATTTTTCATATGGAAATTTTTGTGCGCGCGCATCAGAGAGAGATTAATAAAGCAATCCCAACAACCAAAAGGGTCCATCAATACTCAGGATGTGTAAAGTGATCTTTAAACAGCTCATGTTCTTGTACCCACAATCATATTATAATAGAACAGCACCCTTCTCTAACAGTTAACTACAAGGATTAAATCATTATAAATAATAAAACTAACTCAAGATACAAGATAAAATTCCAAATTCCTGAATATTGCCTAGGATTCATTGACAATTGCAACCTTCCGAGTTGCTCTCAAACATAGCACACTTATGTATGTATAGAATTCATCAAAATGTTGGGTCATCAAACACTAGTGGACATTTTTAACATAATTGGCTAGTGTAAAATTTATGACAATGCTTGACAAATCAAATACTTGTGTAAATTTCATCAAGAAGCATAATACGATATATGGAAGCCAAGAAGAACAGATAAATATGGCATGCCATGTCCATATCATAAACATGTTCGACACCAACATCCCTTCCTTTTTTTAATAGGGATCGAAGGTTTTAGTCTTAGAAATCCCCTTTTGCGTGTTTCTGGTTTTTATTTTTTCTTTTCCCATGTGGGGGACGCGAGGAGAAGAAAGACTTGAATCTATGCAGCACCTAGAGATGCCTCCACAAATACTTCATCTTTTCTCATGAATAAATCACTTCAAATAGGTCTCTAAATATCAAATCACGTGTTACAGAATATAATTTTGGTAGAACCACACCACTAAAATTAATATTTGCTCTTGCAAAATAAGCATGAACGTGTGACAATTAAATCTTCACACGTATTATAAGGATTAAATCATTATAAATAATAAAACTAACTCCAGATACAAAATAAAATTCCAAATTCCTGAATATTGCCTAGGATTCATTGACAATTGCAACCTTCCGAGTTGCTCTCAAACATAGCACACTTATGTATGTATAGAATTCATCAAAATGTTGGGTCATCAAACACTAGGGGACATTTTTAACATAATTGGCTAGTGTAAAATTTATGACAATGCTTAACAAATCAAATACTTGTGTAAATTTCATCAAGAAGCATAATATGATATATGGAAGCCAAGAAGAACAGATAAATACGGCATGTCATGTCCATATCATACACATGTTCGACACCAACATCCCTTCTTTTTTTTAATAGGGATCGAAGGTTTTAGTCTTAGAAATCCCCTTTTGCGTGTTTCTGGTTTTTATTTTTTCTTTTCCCATGTGGGGGACGAGAGGAGAAGAAAGACTTGAATCCATGCAGCACCTAGAGATGCCTCCACAAATACTTCATCTTTTCTCATGAATAAATCACTTCAAATAGGTCTCTAAATATCAAATCACGTGTTACAGAATATAATTTTGGTAGAACCACACCACTAAAATTAATATTTGCTCTTGCAAAATAAGCATGAACGTGTGACAATTAAATCTTCACACGTATTATAATATCCAAGTTCAAACTCTAAGGTGATGGGTTGAATCACCATGATCATGTTGTCGACAAAAGGCAAAGAAGAAGAAAATATATATACCTGTTAGTCCAAGAGTCCTTAGATCCCAAAGTAACAAATGATTGTCAGTGCCTCCTGTTACCAGTCTACACTTTCTACTCAGTAAAGCAGATGCTAGAGCCTGAGCATTTTTCTTCACCTGTTGCATATATGCCTTGTACTCAGGAGTGGCCACTTGTTTCAGGGCTATAGCAAGGGCTGCAATGTGATTATTGTGCGGTCCACCTTGCAAGGCTGGAAAAACAGCAAAATTTATCTTCTCCTCAAAGTCATATTTGTCACTACCATCACCTTGACTCAAAAGCAATCCCCTCTTCCTTGGCTTCAAACCCTTTCTGTAGAAAATAATACCTCCCCTGGGGCCTCGAAGACTTTTATGAGTTGTTGACGTAACAATGTCGCAGTAATCAAAGGGGTTTGCACACTCCTGCAGAAAAATTGACCATACATGCCATTAAAGAGAGAATAAAATTTTGAAAGCAAAAAAGAAAATCACTTTCTTGAAGGAAATTTCAATGAAAGGTGAAAAAGGGGACAGAAAGGGATTAAAAAAAACCAAGGAATAGTTAGTGTAAAGTCCCTCCACATGGACTTATACAAGGATATGTCCTACCCATATGTTGTTAATGGCTGAAGTCCCACACTAAAACCTATTTGTGAGCTTCAGTCTTTTTTTTATTTAAAATTAGCATCTATTTTTCTGATGGTTTTACCTTGTATTTGATGTTCCGCAATGTGAGTTAAGAGTGAGGGTTGTGTTTAGTTTACATCATGCGATTATTTTTTTTGTTTCAATCTTTACAATATCACAACTTTCATTGCACACGTCCAATTTCCATAAAATTGATATTTTTGAAATATATTCATTGAGACTTATCAAACAAGTTCCATATTAAATATGCAATTATGTTTTAAAAATAGAGAAATTTTCTTAGTTTCGAATCTGTGAAGTTTCTCAAAACGGTGGAATTTCTCAATACACATCTTTTTTGATTGGCACACAGGGGACAGGATTTGTTGCAGCCACCCCCACCTCCCCCTCCCCCTCATTTTGACCTCTGCACCTCCCATCTACCTTTGTAGACCACCTTCCTTTGCCCCTTCACCCACGACCACCGCCCCTCCAACTTTAACTAGAAACATCACACCTAGATATTACTTTTTTTATCTGAAAATTGTATTTGAAGGGATGGGACGCTTGTACAGACCATTCTTGCCCCATATCTCTAAGCAATTCCTCAAGGTCATCGTAATATGACATTTTGGACAAAGCACTGCTCCTATTTTGGTGCTTGGCCTTCTTGAACTCCTTCAACAGGTTCCTCCACTTATTCATACACATAGTCACTGACCGATCAAACCCCTTCTCTTTCATCTTTGCTGATGGCTACTCCCACAAATACTTGTTCAAATTCGAAGTGTTAAAAAGTCCACCCACTTCACGGAGAAAACTAATCAAACTCTTAATCTCTTCCTGAATCTAAGTCTTCGCTCTCTCCGTCTGAGCTTTCACTTCACAGAACTTAATGATGGGTTTTTTGGTCATTTGGTTAGGCATTGGACTTCACACGTTAAAAAAATATTAGTTGGGTTGGGACTGGATGTTGCATAAATACAATATATGGGACCTCTGTCCAGAATCCCCTATAATAGCAAGTTAACATTTTTTTACAAGTAGCAAGTTAACATGGCGAGAGCAAATCCAAAAAACCAAAATAAAATTTTAAAAAAACTAGGACCAAAAGCTAGAAGATTTTCAATATGATAAATAAGAACATGGTTTAATTGGAGACGAAATATGTAATCGCAATAGACTCCACTTATTCAAAGTCATCTAACTATAGGAAAATGCACTATATGCCCATAAAGCACATTGTACTGTTTTCTCACAATAAAAATTCAAGCATAGAACAGAGAAACAGTACTCTTAATATTTATAATATAACACATGCAAACATAGGAAAACCAAATTTTACATAACAAATATCTTAGGAATTAAAATGAGACGCATCCCTCCTTTGACAGGACAAAATTATCACAAATTCATGCAGCTATAAATGAGCACCACACACAAAAAAAAAATTAAATTTAAAAATAAAATAAGAAGAAGAAGATTGCTTTCCCAGAATTTCTAAAGCCACCATTCCTGACTCTAAAATTCATAAAGCAGCTTTACTTATTCATTTTTAAAAGAAAAGAAACTATATGAGTAAGGTTATACAAGCAGAAAAATCATTCAAAAAATTTATACGGAATGATGATGTGGCTGAGTTGTGGGACTATCACTTTTAAATATAGAATCCATCAAACTGTCTTTTAATTCCAAACTGCCAATGCCACAAGGCTCACATCATTCTAGAGGAATGATTGTGTAAAGGAACTTTGGAATAACAGCATTTTCAAAACTATGTGTGTGTTTGATTTGAGTTTTTTGGATTAAATTTTTTGAAAACTGAATTTTTTGTTTTTCATGTTTTTTTTATTTTTAGTGAATATTTTTAAAATTTTAAGCATTTTTTTTTTATTTTTTTACATGCACCTTACTTAGATATATCTAAAAAAATAAAAAATTTGTGAAAAAATATTTTAAAAAATTAATAAATACATAAAAATAAGAAAATATACTAAATTCTCGTTTTTTTTTTTTTTTTTTTTTTTGGTTTTTTTTTTTTTTTGTATTTTTGGTATTTAGTGAATTTTTAAAAGATTTTTTTCACAAACATTATTCTTTTTATGTGTATTTATGTTAGGTGTGTCTAAAAATTAAAAAAATTTCTTAAAATATTAAAAAAATTCAGTAAAAATAAAAAAAAAATATGGAAAACAAGAAAATAGAATTTTCTGAAAAATGTTTTTAGAAAACCAAAAACAAGCCAGCTGTATATTTTTCAGATCAAAATTACTCAGCCAACAATCTGAGCTCTAATCTTAATTTAAGTCCTCGTGCTACTCAAATTAAAAAGGCAAAAGATGAAGGAGGAAAGAAAGAAAGTCAATAAACTATTGTGCATGCCATCCCAATGTTATAGTTGAACCACGTGGAAGTTGGAACATGTAAGAAATTTCAAGTTTTTAAGAAACATCTGCCACAGAATTTGGAGTTTTCAACTTCTGCAGGCTATCAAAACAAACAAAAGTTGAGCCAAATTGAACACAACCTTTAAATCAGTTGTCGGGATGTTCTTCCCACTATATTCTCCAAAATACAATAAGGGACACACTTGAATTAGGGGAAAAAACCTAAAAAACATGGTTGATATGTGAGAAGGAAAAAATTCCCAACATTTGCAAACTGATGAATTTAGCATTGGCCACAAAGCCAAGCCCAGTAAAGAGGATTCCTTTCTTCCAGCATAGACCAAGTGCAATCTCAATTCCACAAATTTCTCCGTTAATAATACCTAATTTGAAGAACCAAAACCAAATACCCATAATCCCAAAAAAAAAAAAAAAAAGTCCATACTCTATATTGTGAACTAAGAAGACTACACAAGCAGATACAATTACCAAGATACATGACTGAGGCACTAGTCAATGACACAGATCAAAACCAAAGAAACAGAATGCTTCATGCCAAGGAAGCACCAAGAATATTAGGTAGAGACTTCAATCAGAAAATAAACATGAGTAGCAAAATTCACCTTAGCCGCAACAAGACCACTAATTTGAGCCATGTCACACATTAACACTGCTCCACATTTATCTGCAATCAGTCTAAACTTTGCGTATTCCCACTCCCGAGGATACGAGCTGCCACCACAAATAAGTATCTTTGGGCGAAAATCAAGCGCCTTCTCCTCAAGTTTATCATAGTCTATGTACCCAGTCAGTGGGTTAACCTTATATGGGAGGCTTTCAAAGAAAATTGAAGCCCCGGAAACTTTTCTACCATTAGATGTATAGTACCCGTGACTAGTGTTTCCACCAGAAGGTGTATCCAATCCCATAATCCGATCCCCGGGTAATAGCAGCCCTGTGTAAATTGCAAAATTCGCTGATGTACATGAATATGGTTGAACATTTACACCCCAATTCTCCGAATCTAGACCAAAAGCGGCCAAAGCGCGCTCACAACATAGTGTTTCAATCTCATCAATGTACTGATTACCACCATAATACCTCACCCCGGGCATTCCTTCCGAGTACTTGTTCGTCAAATGGCTCCCCAGAGCTTCCATCACAGCCCGGCACACAAAATTCTCTGAAGCTATCAATTCAATCCCTTTGAATTGCCTCTGCTTTTCCTTCTCCATAATCCAAAAAACATCCGGGTCTGCAACGCAGAGCGGCTGATTATCCCAAGCCCGCACTGCACTCCGTCGCGATTCGAGACCTTGAGGCTCGAACCGCTCGATCGAAACCCGTTTCGAAGACGAAGAACACGATGCCACCGATTCTCCATCCCTCCTCCTCTTCAGAAACATCGAATGCCCCAGAATTCGAAACTCCTCATCATCCCCACTCTCTCCCTCCTCAATCTCGTTCTCATGCTTTTGATGCTGATCCATCAACTGCAGCGGAATCGACGGCACATGATGAGAGGGGCCGCAGAAACCCGAGTCGATCTGGAAGGAGATCAAGTCGTCGACGATTTGAGAACGGCGAGAAGTAGGCGTAAAAGTGTGAGAGTGAAACCCTAGAGACAGATTCGATTGCGAGTGTGTCAAATCCATAACTACCAATCAATCAAAACCCAAACCCTAACCCTAGCTGAATTGAAATTCAAGGTTCAGAACAGCAATAGCAACAGCAACAGAAACAGTGACAACAGCGTCTGAAGCAATTACAGTACCAGTATCGGAAATTGGATCGTCCTCCTGAGGTTGTTGAGTGCGTGGCCGAAGCTTCCATGGAACTCTCGGTAAAACCCTAACCCCCAATATACATTACAGATACTTGTGCAGGATATGTATGTACATACGTTGAGAGAGAGAGGTGGTTGGGGAGGAGAGAGAAAAGGAAGGTTGGGTGGGTCGGTAGGTAGATAGAGAGAGAGAGAGACAATTTGACGAAGACGGTTAGATTTATTTTTTCTCTCTCTTTTTAAGATTCATGGTTAGATTCGTTTTGGGATGCACCTGGACGAATATATACCTCTATATAATAAGGTCGAGTGATTTTTGAATTTTGATGAGATTGTTGTCCTTATGTCAAAATATAAATCGTTAGATTGAATCAATTCAACAGTTAAGAAATGTTCAAGAGACGTTATATTTTAATGGTTAGATTGAATCAATCAACAGCTAAGAAATATTCAAGAGACATTATATTTTAATAGTGGATTTACAATGGTGATTCAATCCTACAATGTTCAAGAGAAGAGTTTCTTTGTTTTGATTCAAGAGGAGTTCTCATTCAATAGCAGATCTCTTCTTCCCTTCCATCCATCTCTCTCTCTCTCATTCAAGAGTAGATCGACGACTTCACAGATGGAGAGTTTGTTGGGTGCTAGCCTTGCTAGATCGGTAGATCCAAATCGGCGTCATTGCGGCAACAAATCGGTGAGGTTCATTATATTTGTTCATCTCCAATTTTTTTTGGCGCTTCACATACCATCCCTTTGTGTATATATATTGAAGAGTTTGTTGAATACTTGAATTTGTTGAATACTTGAACGAGAATGGTATCATTCAAAAAGGTCAGTTGAATGATTAGAGCCAGAAATGCTAATGTTGTGGTGTATGATATGATGAAGTGTGTCCGATTTAGTATGATTCTGAGTTGTTTTACCCCATGATTGAATCTCTTTTATGTTCAAACCAGAAATATGTTGAAATACAAAAGAGGGACAATACTAGGTGGTGTTTCTTTTTCAGTGACGGGATTATTGATTTTGATTATATGAATTTTTCATAAATGCTAGGGTACATGTTGCTCTGTTTGGTGCAGTTTATGGGGTTAATTATAAACTGAAAAAAATATATATATTGAGAAAGAAAGGGATACTTTATTTTAGTCTTTGTTTTCATCTCTTCGTTTTTTTTCTTTAAAGCCACAGAGATCATCAATTGAAGAGCTGATTGCATTTTTTATATATTGAATATAGATTTTTACCAATTTTTTCCTTTTTTTTTCTGTGAGTATTGTTTTTCTTTGATTTTGGGTGCACTTTTATGGGTTTTTGTTTATTTTTCTTATACAGATAATATATACACACATATATGAAGAGTTGGTTGGGTTTTTGAGTATTGTTTATTTTTATTTTTCTTACTTTGATTTAGTAGGAATTTGTGGGTTTTCTAAGTTTAGGCTTAAGCTACAATGATGTTGGTATAGAATTGTTGATTTTCTAAATTCTATACTTTTCAGATTCTATATGGTATAGAATTGTTAGCAAAATTCTAGAATTGTTGCTTTTCAAATTATATATTATTCTATACGGCATAGAATTATAATTTCAAACTTTATTAATTTCAAATTTTAGAAAACCAACAATTCTATATTAGTCTTTTTTTTTTTTTAGACAAATAAATAAACTTTATTAATATGATGTGCAACCTTTTAAGAGTGGACATTATTAATTTTCCCTAATGTATGAGAAATCAATACATGATAAATCAATATTTAGCCAAGAGAATGCATTAAAAATATATATATATATATTCAAAGAACAAGATTGAAATCTTAAACAAATAAACTATGAGTTTGTTGGGTGCTCTGTTCTGCAAAGTAAAAGTAATACTCACATCTCCTTCTTAATAGATTATTGTGTGTATATATATTAATTACAATTTTTTTTTTCTTTGACGCCATAGAGACCATCAATTGATTATTAATGAAATAGAGAAAGAACGATTTCCAAAATCAAACTGTGAGAATTGTTTTTCCTTAATTTTCTATATGCATGTAAGATTTTGGGTATACTTTTTGTTAGGTTTTATTTCTTGGCAATCCTGTTTGACAAAACTCCTTTGAGTTGTAATTTTATTCGCACTTTTTATTTCAGTGAGGCTATGAGTGTTTAGATATGAATCCAACCCGAATTGTGCCTTTCAGAGAAGTTTGTGATGCTAATGCTTTCAAGATTGCCACTTCGCTGATTATGACGGGGATCGAGCTGCCCGGTCAGCTCGCAGGGGTCCAGGGGGCAGTGCCCCTTGGCGGGTCCGGGGTAGCGCCACAGCGGGGTCAAGGGGCAGCGCCCCCAAAGCAAAATGCAAAAATGCATTCCAAGTTGCCTGTCCGCTCGAGCGGACATTACCCTGCTCGAGCGGAAAATCCCTGGTTCCAGCAGTTTTGGTCGCCTGTAAAAGTACTGAGATGTGTAATTTTGCGCTCCAGCGGGTTTTCTAGCGCTCGAACGGACCTCTGTTATATCACGCGCATATTTTGCTGAAGACGCTCGAGCGGGCTGTTGGACGCTCGAGCGGAGATCGCGGGACAGATTCTATAAATTCGCGTGTTGGGTCAGATTTTAGGATTACTACTCCAGATCTTCTTTTTGGGTTCTAGGGTTTATATCTGGGGATACTTTGTGAGTTTTCTTTGATGTTTTATTGAGTATTCAACTCATGGTTTAAAGAGAGTACATCAAAGGTTTTGTTTGCTATACAAAAGAGAGAGTTGTTCTTCGGTGGAATCTGAAGAATTCGAGCCTGAAGCTTTGGTGGATTCCGGGGTGGCTCATCGTAAAGACAATTCTGAGGTGAAGACGGATTGGAAGAGGCACATAGAGGTTGGTTCAATTAGGCGTGGATTCGCTAGGTAATTGAGAGTATATATGTGTAATTCCTTTAAATCTTTTTAGTGGATTGTTTTGTGGCTGTTGCCCGTGGTTTTTTTAATCACAGTTGGAGGTGTCCAATTGTGGTTTTTTCCACGTTAAAATCGTTGTGTCTCTTTGTCTTGATTGTTTGATTGGAATTGTTATATTCTGCTTAAAATTGATACATAATCACAAATCAAAAATTCCAAATGCTCAAGCTTCAAACTATTCTATAAAATTATGTAATCTTTTCTAAAAAAATTCTTTTAGAACGAGATCTTGTTTGATTTGTGATAATGGATTCAATTCGTGAAGGAAATTCTATGGTTCGACCACCCCTACTTGACGAATCCAATTATTCTTTTTGGAAAGCTCGGATGAGATCTTTTTTAAAAACTATTGATGAAAAAGTTTGACAATCTGTCATGAATGGGTGGACCGAACCAACAATTACCGTTGATGGAGTTACAATCCCCAAACCAATTGATAAATGGGACACAATTGATTACCAAAATAGTAGCTGGAATAATAAAGCCATCAATTCTCTCTTTTGCGCTGTCACACCTGAAGAATTTAGTCGTATTTGTAATTGTGAAGTCGCAAAAGAGGCTTGGGATATCTTACAAACTATTCATGAGGGCACTCCTTCTGTAAAACGCTCAAAACTTCAAAGGCTCACGTCTAGTTTCGAAAACCTTTCAATAAAAGATAGTGAGACCATTGATGAATTTTATGCGAAATTGAGTGACATTGTAAATTTCAGCTTCAATTTAGGTGAAAAAATATCAGAATCTAAAGTTGTGGGAAAAATTTTGAGATCCTTGCCCGATCGGTTCCAACCAAAAGTTACGGCTATTGAGGAGGCTCAAGATGTTGACAACCTCGAGCTGGATCAGTTGGTTGGAAATCTCCAAACTTATGAGGCACACAGGAATTTCAAAAAGAAACAAAAAGATACTATTGCTTTTAGTAGTGCTCATAAAGTGGTAGAGGATTCTGATGAGGATTGCGAGATAGATTCCAAGATTATGGCTGCTTTTGTTAAACAATTTAAAAAATCTTTTTTGAAAAAGAATCCTAATCTTTTGGAATCTACTCATCCTCATAAATCTAAAGGCAAAGATAAACTCAAAATTAATCCTATAGCCAAGAAGGAGAAAGGAAAGATACAAGGAAACTCTGAAAGACTCCAATGCTATGAACGCCAAGGATTTGGCCACTTTGCTTCAGAATGCCCAACTCGTTTGAAGAAGAAGAAAGCCCTCGCCATCACTTGGGATGATGAATCAGAATCTGAGAAAGATGAAAGTGACAATGAAGATCACGGTGAAGAGGGTCATAAACAATTCACGCTTGCTTTCATGGCGGCTTCCGAAGCTGAAGGACAATAGATTCTCCGAGAATGTCAGTTGAGAATACTCACTGATGATGAATCCTCGGAAGAGTGATCATGAAGAGCTTGAGCAAGCTTATTGAAAGTTGTATAAGAAATCTCTTAACTTATTCAAATTGAATGACAAACTCACAAAAGAAACTCAAAGCTGTGAAGTCGGAATGTCAAACTTAAAGGAGGAGATTTCCGAGGTTCAGGATTATGCCATCGGAAGGTAGCTGATGATCGACAAGTTCTTTGTGCAAACTGTTGACTTGTGAGACAGAGAGGAATGAGCTGCTGCAAACCCATGCCATGTATAACACGAAAGATTGAATCTCTGAATGTCACAAGTTGTCTTTGGAAGAACTAAATGATCTCAAGGTAGAAAAAAGAGGAAGAGCTCAAGTGTGCTATGGCTACCATTGTCTTTGGAACAAGAGATCAAAAAGACTTTGGAGGGATATCATTGGGTTCAATAAATATGAGTTATTTGTGGGACACAAGAGAAAGTGGGGCAAATTGGCTTTGTGGTAGAAAGGCAAAACAGAGGCTTCACATCTTCTTGATACAAGAACCTAAGGAAAGGGAGACATAAATTTAATCAACAAAAGGATGGACTTTCAAAGCAATCTTCCCTAGAGTTGGTAAGTAAGAAAGAAAAGAAGGTACACTCCTGTTTTATTATTGTCATCATTGTGGTATGCATGGTCATATTCCGCCCTTATTGTTATAAGTTGGCATTGGAGGAGTGTATTTTTGCCTAGACCTAAGGAATAGGAAGTTGGGAAACCATATCGAGAACGCGGTTCTATATTGCAGGGGAAAGGAACCACAAACGTCAAGACACACACCAAGAATTGCAATTCTCACATCTTTGTTCGTACTAAAGCATTTGGGTGAGAAAACTGAGCTTGTGTTACATATAGTTTTTGTTTTTTATAGACTTGTTGGTTTTTGTGTGTT